GAAAGAGAGGCACACCTGAAGAAGCTTGTGTGGCCACAAACCCCACCAGAAATCAAGGACCAAGACGAGCCTCACTGCCTTCAAGTGGGAGATGCACTTAGAGCTGAGTGAGCAAGGGCACTCCCAGGCTGTGTCTACACTGGCAAGTTATTCCGGAAAATCAGCCGCTTTTCCGGAAAAACTTGCCAGCTGTCTACACTGGCTGCTTGAATTTCCGGAAAAGCACTGACAATCTAATGTAAAATCATCAGTGCTTTTCCGGAAAAACTATGCTGCTCCCGTTCGGGCAAAAGTCTTTTTCAGGAAAACTGTTCCGGAAGAGGACCAGTGTAGACAGCACAGTAGTGTTTTCCGCAAAAAAGCCCCGATCGCGAAAATGACGATCGGGGCTTTTTTGCGGAAAAGCGCATCTAGATTGGCCATGGACGCTTTTCCGGAAAAGCATCCTGTCAATCTAGATGCACTTTACTGGAAATACTTTTAACGGAAAACCTTTTCCGTTAAAAGCATTTCTGGAAAATCATGCCAGTGTAGACATAGCCCCACAGTATAGCCCTTAAGGCAAAAACTCTCCACTGCACCCTCAGTTCTCCCACAGTGGAGAAAACAAAGCACACACGACAGCTGTCAGTCGCATTGCTCCACGTACTACTATACTATCTGAGCACCTTCTAATGATATTAGAATTTGGGGGGGAGGGGTGTGAAAAGGGAAATTAAGGGGACTATAGTTTAAACAATACAGCGACTCACTTCTCCATTGTCTTCTTTTTACGCAAGGTGGCAGTGAGGGAAGAAATCTCTTTCCATCCTCATCTTTCACCCCTCTCTCAAGGTCACTCCAGGGGGTCGTGCGAGGCTGGAAAGGAAAAGCAAGTGAGGGACAGCGATCCAGATCACTTAAGTATGCTCATCACAGGGTGGTGCTCTCAGGGATCAACCAAGCGCCACGTTCGCTTAGTTCTGTCTGGATTTTTCGCATTCACTTATATCAACTTTTGCATGTCAAGTGCCTGCCTAACAAAGGTGTTCCAGCTCAGTCAAGGTGTCTGGGTTTTTTGTGACCGAAGTATTAAAATACAATAGTTACGGGCTGCTGCTGGGGCAGCCATTTTTTAGGCCAGTGAGTGGGCATCAGTAGCCCTCCATCTCAGTGGGCCACAAGGCTGTCATAACCAAGACAGACTCCTAGGATAGGGTAGTTTTGCAAACGGCACTTCTATACATAGAATTTGCGAGGTATGCAAATTGAACCATAGCAGCGATGTGATTGGTTGCAGAGGGAGCATGTGGCTCTTCCAATGTTGTGGGCAGTCACACACCTCACTCCACATGCCTTTACTTTAAGGCAGGGCTATTTAACACGCGGCCCGCAGCCTGCATGCGGCCCGTGGTGCGGTTTGGGTTTACGCAGGGCTCAACACGCAGCCCGTGGGTGGGATTCTCTGAACATGGCCTCCACTGGGAACACGCTCCACAACAGCGAGGCGTCTCCTAGGTAGGGTGGGCATTGAAAAATGCAAGTGGACGGGCAGGCTGGAACAGATGGGCACCGGGTATCAGTGTTTCTAGCTCCCAGGAGGTGCCTAGAGCGCTGGTACATTGTGGGAAGTGCTGGCTGCTTAGTCTTGTGGGCATCTGACTGACAGTCTCTGTGTTGCTACAACGGAACAAACACAAGCCTGATGAGAAACAGCTGATGAAAAGTTTGCAGACACAATCTTCACATTGATTGTACTTCTACTCCAGTAAATTCCAGGACTGTATTGGCAGCTTTTGTTTGATTTGTTAAAATTGTGAAGCCAAAACAAAAAAGCCGTCAATATAATGGTCTTCTGTTGAGATGCATTTTAGTAGTTAAATTCCTGGACTGTCATGGCGCATTAAAAGTGCTGTCATGTGTGGAAATTGGGTAAATGTTGCATTTTATTAATATCAGCAGAACGGACTTAAATGGGGCCTGTGTGTTGTGTAGTCTTGCCTTAATCTTTGTATTCATGCCCATCAGCGTGAAAAGGTATTTGCATAGATTTGCAACCACACTTAAGTTGCGGCCCTCACCATGTGTTGTGAATAGCATTGTGGCCCTCGGGGCTTCCTAAGTTGAGTAGCTCTGCTTTAAGTAAAACAGGTAGGAAAAAGCCATACGTGGATGGAAACCAGCAGAATCTGGCAACCCTTCGCATAAGAAAAATGTGTCATGGACCACAAACAGAACCCCAAGGGGCCACAAGTTGCCCACCATTGTTTTAGGCAATACCTATGGAAAGAAAATCCCTGGTGCATTTTTACAGAAGAGGCAAGTGGCTGTACTCTCTCCTCTGTCCTTCAATTGCTGCTTTTTGTTTTCATTGAATTCGGTCTGCCGCTTCTGCTGGGTGCGGTATTCTTCTACACCTATTTCCCCTCAACTATAAAGCTATACTGCTGTTTAGAAGTTAGTGTTCCAGCTGACAGATGGATGCATTTGAATGACAGATGAAAAATGACCTCAGGTGCACAGTTTGTGAAGTGTGTGAGTACTGTTTAAAATGAAACAAAAATATGCAAAAATCTGTATGGCACAATTGGTCTCTTTCCCCCCAAAACACTCCAATCACATCATGAGCTATTAAACACCCCAAATAGTATTTATTTTGAGAGAACAAGGCCCCTTCATTTTAAAAATCACAAAACAAGTCTTTATTTCATAACAAATCAAACTTTGAGTTCACAAGGCTTTCACCTCAGCCGCAGAATCAATAAACGATCATCACTGACATCGTTAGTCACAGCAACGACCAAGACATGCCAGCCACATGGCAAAAGGTTTCCTTGGTGGGACAGAATGTCATGTCCCTTTTTGCATTAATACACTGAGAGTTAAAAGTGAGAGCCCAATAAATATTAACTGCCTCACAGAACTATCCTAGTTACTGCAGATGACTTGAATCAAAGATGCATTCAAAAAAACTTGTTATAGATACTTTTCTTAAGATGTGTTAATAAATTTCACATTAAAAAAATTGATTCAAACCAACATTCTGAATTACATTTTTGCATATTACACCTCTCTCATATCCCTCCAATGTTCCTGGATTTTTGGGTCACCTTTCTTCCAGACTGAATTTCTGGAACATTAAGTTTAAAGGGACCCTTCTTACAGATACACGTATGCACCTTCAGTATTGAAACTGGTGACAAAGATACAATTTTTATACCACTATTAGAAGACAGAAAAACCCTACCATATGAGGTGTTAGCTGGAGCATCTTGAGAGCGATTTGAAAACAACTGATCAAATTTTTATTATGCTACATCTAACTGACTGTTTTACAGCTATTCCATCTAACGTAGTCCAAGTGTATCAAGCAACTTTAAAAGTGACCACCACAATTACTTGCAAATTAAGTGTTTCTCATTTGATTTAAGAACAGTATTGACATCTCAATCGCGTGAACAATGAAAATATAAGTTACCAATACAACTGTATGCTTGCCCATCCCTGCTAACCCATGGCACATATTCCATGTCGTACAGTAGTGCAACAACCCTCAAAAACTGTGGTATAAAAACTGAACAATTCAGCCTCAGTTTGAAGGTCATTCTAGACTGGAGATTAAAAAAAAGCTGATAGCCAAGTGCAGTTCTGATAAGCCATGGTGCAAGAGAAGGGTGTGGGTTTCTTTGGATTGCTAAGAGATTACGGACTACAAGAATTGGACTCCCGTGGCTGTCAGGTATGGCAGCACAGCACTACTTTTTCCAAGAAGATTGCTCCCAGACTGCTCTATGATTGTGGTGCACTGCAAGGTGGACAGTCAGGCTTGGATGCCTGGATCCTTAGCATTCTGCGAGGGACTGTCCACAGGGAACATTTAAACTCTTCAGTGGGGAACATGATTCCAGCACATCAGAAAATGTGGTAGGTTTCATTATGTGCAAGGGAATCCAAAAGACCTGAACACTAATTAAGACGCTTTCTTGGAGAGCATGCACTCCCCCCTCAAACCATAAGCAAAACCAAGAAACTCTTATGCGGGTAAAAGCCCAGAGCACCGGAAATCTGTGCAGGACTTCACCCAAGGAAAAGGTCCCAGATCCCATAAGAGTCCTAGAAGTCCCAATAGCAAATAGGACTCTAGAAGGGAGAGACACCAATGAGAACCTACAATGAAAACAAAGTAGGTCTCTTTAAGAAGTTGCCCATTTCTTACAGAGGAAAAAATCCAAAGCTCTACTATAAGCAGGATTCATTATGGGGAATAAGACCCCAGAGCTCCTGAGTATTTCGACTGAGATCACTTTAGCGTGGACATGGGAGAACCCAGCACACAGAAAGCAATGAGATCCGCTTTCCAGTGATTCTCCCGAGTGTGTTCTTGATGGGCCATACAACGTCCATGGTCTTTTGTCCCATCGGAGCATCTTTCTTCTGGGCAATCATATTGGACATCAGCAGAAAGCTCTATTAGTTGGTTTCCAACTTTGTCCAGGTTTCTTCCTCATAGTTCACACTCATGGGCTATGTCTACACTGGCATGATTTTCCGAAAATGCTTTTAACGGAAAAGTTTTCTGTTAAAAGCATTTTTGGAAAAGCACGTCTAGATTGGCAGGATGCTTTTCCGCAAAAAAGCCCCGATCGCCATTTTCGCGATCAGGGCTTTTTTGCGGAAAACAGTACTGTGCTGTTTACACTGGCCCTTTTGTGCAAAAGTCTTTTGGAAAAAGACTTTTGCCCAAACGGGAGCAGCATAGTATTTCCGGAAAAGCACTGACGATCTTACATGAGATCGTCAGTGCTTTTCCGGAAATTCAAGAGACCAGTGTAGACAGCTGGCAAGTTTTTCCGCAAAAGCAGATGATTTTGCGGAAAAACTTGCCAGTCCAGACACAGCCATGTTATGTTGTCTACGTTCCTTCCTTTGAGGAGTTCTGCGTGATCAGCACGTTCCTATATGATCAGCTCAGCATTTGAGTGCTTCCTCCTTTCTGAGCTATTCGAGTGCTTTTGTCCTGCATTCCAATCCACAGCTATTCCAACTGTCGCACTTGATGCAGTGCTGAGGTCATACTAAGTCTTTAACTAAATCCCTATCTGACCAAAGAAATATTACTATATTTTTGACATTCATTGACAGTTGGCATGCTGTTGAACTTCCAAGGCTGGACTGCTGCAAACTTGGCTTTGCTAAAGCAGTCCAGAAACTTCAGCCCCTGTAAATTCTGACACTAAGACACAGAGTACTTGCTTCCCCACTCTTGAATCCTATTGTGTCTGCAGTGGCTTTTGCCTTATATTTCACCGTGCATACAAAGTTCCACGATGAAGATCTGTACATGTCAACAAATTTGGTCAGTTTATTTTGGCATCTTCCCAGAACTTTATAAACTGGTCTGAGCACAGGGATCTAGCAAGGAAAGCTTCTTAATGCCTATTTATCAGCACAAGAGATTCAGGTCTTCAACCTTTAGCTGTGTCCCCTGGTTGTTTCTCCAATTTCAGAGAGTTAAGGACTACAACAAAGGTCTCCTAGACCACATGCTCAGACTCCTTTTAGGCATTGTATTTGCTAGACGTGTACCAAAGTAAACCCACGTCATAGCAAGTAAAGTAAAAACAATGCAATTAGGAGACTAAAACATGCACTCTCATGCCTGAAGATGGAAACATTCTTTTATCATGTACTCCAGCATGTTGCTAGTTTAGAAGATTCACCAGCTCACATGCAGATTCAATGCCAAAAAGGGTATATCGCTCAGAATGAGGCTTCGATCTTGCACTAAAGGCAGTTTTCAGACTTCTGGAAGCCACAACTGGGCTCCCACTATCAAGGTCAAGTGGCAGAGACTTGGTATTCAAAGAATGCCAGACTTCTGAACAGAAGCTGCTATGACCCTGCTATGAATGAGCAGAACCTTTGAGCTTATCTAATAGCATTAGACGTGCCACTTCCCCCCGCAACGCCTCAAGATGTCAGGCAGCATTGCAGAGCTTCTTCCTGCGAAGAAGCAAAGCACCCTGACACATTACGTGAGGCGGAAGGGTTCATTACAAGAGGTGCAGTAAATAGAAGCTTCCGATAACCTTCCAAAAAACGCATCTAATTTTTTAAAATTCTGTGAACTTCAAACGGGGATTTTTCTTTAATTGTGGGGTTGAAAAGCAACCTTGATCTCCACTGAAGGAGCCACTGGTGGTGCTGCTCACAGTTCCGATCTTGAATACTCCCCAGATGTTCAGAATTTGTGTTGTCCCAACAAAGCTTTGTTCAAGACAATTCAGATCCACCAATGATCAATCAGTGTCGCTTCTTAACACTAGCTCCAGCAAAGAAATATCGGCAAGGGTGCTTCCTGAAGACCCTTGGCATCGATAAATGGTTCTCAGTTATATCATGGTCATTCTTTGGCATTCTGGGTGCCATGGCTATCGCTTGCTCCTCTCCTTTAGAAGTATCTGGTCTTCTGTTCCAACATGTTGACTTTATCATTCAGTGCTAAAGAGTCCTGCATTGATTTAATTCAACCCACATCCATATGCAACAGGGTTAGACTAATCACATGTAGGAAGCATATTCTATAGGTTTAACCATTTCTAAAGGTCCCCCAATAACAGTGCAAGGCTGTTTCTTGCCTATAGACTACTGCCTGAACTGGAAATTGGACAGCCAAAGTCAACTTCTACAATTAATGTTGGGATCGAGCACAAAAGGGGGAAGAGGATGTTCAGGATTTTTCTTTTTCTGAAAAAGCTCTTGTTCCTCTCTCCAAGCCTAGGTTTTGGTGCTAGTCATGAAACACACAGAGGACAGAATCCGAGCCCTACTGACAACAGAGGTAAGTGGATCTGACCCTCGGGTTTAACTGTGAAAGCCTTTTGATGTTGTCTTATGGTCATCATTTCTCTTTGAAAAGAAGCAGCAGGGTTTTTTTTCCCCAAAGACATTTGCCTGAGCTGCCTTTGCTAGCTAGTGATGATGGGGAAAACCTCAGAGCATTCTCACTGTCAGATCTGCCCACAGAACTGCTAACCAAAGCATTTAGGAATCCAGACGGGAAGAACAGGATACACCAGCCCCCAAACTGCATATGACAGACAATTAAACCTCCTGCCCAAACAGAATGTTGGTGCTGCTTGACCCAAGAGTCATTTGACGCATTGTGTGGCAAAATCTTTGTCTCTCTTTATAGAAAAAGGAACAGGTCAGCAGTTGCCTCCTGGAGTATTTGGGATTTCTTCATTAATGTTGCTATAAAAAACACGTGCCTTAAATTACTCCATACAATTTAGTGGGTTTAAAAAAATAGAATTCCTGGCCTGCCCCCAGTGTCTTTATATTTTTTTAATTGTAAAACTGGAATTATTCACAGGCAAAAGCTTCTTAGAGATCAAGAATTTCTCTCTCCTTTACATTCACGTGCAACAAAAGCCACCTCATTTGACGCATAGGTGTCAACCCAGAGCACTAAATACCAACTGTAGCTCTTGCTATTCTAACTAGTCAACTTTCCATTACTTGCAAGACTGCAAGTGGTTTTGGATAAGCAGAAAGCTACCAGAAAAAGCCATCCAAGCAAGCTCGAGCACAAATATATGTGAATTAAATGAGCAAGAACTACAGTAGTGAACTGCCAAAAAACAGAGGGATCGAGCCTACTTGAATACCCTGAGCAAACAGATTCACGCTCGACTGCCTGTTATTTCAGCTGGCAGAGTGAAAGTGTAGTACCACTGGAGAACACCCAGAAAGCAGGATACAGCGCTTCTGTGAACTGTGCTCGGAATTTGTAGATCAAGCTGTGTTTCTCGCCGACACCCAGGAAAATGACAAACCCTCCCTCGTAATTGAGCAGCACCCCAATCTTGGTGGCCTTGGTGTTGGGCAGGCATTTTTCAACATCATTATGCCAGGCTGAAATTTTGGCATTGAACCACTCGATGCACCAGGAGCTGTTGTTTCTGCCCAAGCGGCTGTCTGGCCCTTGCCTGTCCATGGTGCCGTAGCAGATGCCGATGCCGCAGAAGTTGTTACGCTGCAGTTCCACTTCCCAGTAGTGAATGCCCCTCTTGAAGCACTGGAAACCAAGCACTTGGGAGCAGTAGGTGAAGCGCTGCGGGTGCGGGCTATACTTCTGGGGTATTTCAGAGACTGACATCTTTGTGTTTCTCTCGGATAACTGCACCTTGATGTGAGCCGTGTTGAAATCCAATGAGATTTTAGCAGCATCTATGGAGAAACCCAGTGATACATTATAAATAATACAGCAAGGAGGGCATGCATGTGTAGAGGTATAAAAAGTGTGTGGGGGGGGGGGCCAAAGGGGTGATTGGCTCTATTGCTTACTCTCCAAAACACTGGTAGCTTCTCCTTTTCCATATGGCAGCTAGCACCATGTACTGCAGTTCCCCCTCCAGGTGGGGAGACCGGGTGGGGAGACCGGTATGGCTACTGCAGTGCAGCCAGGCTGGGACACAGAATCATAGGACTGGAAAGGACTTCAAGAAGTCACCCACACTGGTCCCTGGCACTCATGGCAGAACTGGCGCACAGAAAGGGGGGGAAGCATGATGCCAGGACTCTGTCCTTAGGGTCTGCCACTCAGATCAGTACATGGAAACGAGATGAAGGCAAAGCCTGCTGATCCACCGCTGTGTAGCGCCAACAGCCATTTCTCCAGCAGGCAGGGCGCCCGGGGCAGGAAACTGTGGAGACTCCTGTAGTCCTGAGACAATGTGCCGGTGGAACAGCTTGAAGGCTGCTCTGTGGCATGGATGACTTCAGGGTGTGGAAGGATCCCGTCCCACTGCGTCCCAGTGGCACTCACAGCACAGCCTCGGTACATGTGGGACCGATGTGGTGCTGAAAGGCATATGCCATCATCAGCTCACACTGCTAAGTGCCCCTATCAAGACAGGGCTCTGCACCACGCCTGGCTTCAATGGGTAGGAGAACCCCAGGCCACCCCCAGACAAGCATAGTGCCCCAGGGCAAGCCAGGCCTGTAACAGAACAAGCATTCCAGAATGAAGCAGACACAGCACAGCTGGAGGCAGAGTTCTAACGGGTAGCACTAGCAGAGAGTACAGGAGGGGAGAGAACCTCATACTCTGAGTCTTGAAACCAATCCACAACTATTAAAGGCCAGCACAAGCTGTCCTGGAGAGAAGGGGGAAGTGATCCCATATTTACCCACTGCGGGCTTTCTTCTGAAGCATCTGGTGCTGGCCACCGCTGCAGAAAGGCTACTGACTTTGACAGGCCATGGGACTGAGCCATTATTGCCATTGCTATCTTCCAGACTAATGCCTCCCTTAGTCCCTTTTCTGAGCCCAAGTCTCATTTTTAAAATGACTTTGGAGTGTAAATGCCATTAACTCTCAGTGAATCCACCCTCTCCCCCCCATGGAGTTGAATGTTTAGATCAGACCCCAACAAACTCACTTAGAACGGCAATCCCAATCTGCCAGAGCTATCAGTGGGTGGACCACAATTAAACTTAGTGTCACAATAATGCCAAAAGAGAATGAGACCGACAGGCCCACTATTCTAGCTGTTAGCAGCCTCACGCTTTTTCTAGTAACCCTCCTCATTCTATATCACTTAACAGGCAAGTTCAGTACATTAATAAAGCCACGGTGGTGCAAAGATCCAGAAAGGAGGGAGTCACATAGTACCACCGAAGTCTAACACAACCATGTCATTTTCAAACAGAACACGTCAGGTTACTCACACTGCAGGAGCTCCTCTCTTGATTTCGTTAAAAAGCTTTCGAGAGATGTTGCCCCTGGACTTGCAGGGTTTGACGCTGTAATTATGGGAGAGAGACACCACAATGGCATGTTGCTTGATTTGTCATTGGGAAAGGCACAGAGTTCATACAGATTCCTTAAATGTAATCCAATAATGTCCCAAAGATAAATCTATCAAACCCAGATTAATGGAACAGAACATATAAAACCAGAAGCCCTTACAGGAAAACCTGGAGAAATTCCAGGGGCAGCATTAAAGAGCAGATGAGTGGAGTTCTGTTTGCCACAGAACTTATAGGGCATGGGTCATGGTAGGCCAGGCATCCCATGCCCTGCCCCATCAAGAGACATTTCTCTTTTCTGCAGGTACCAGCTCCAGCTCAAGGGGCGAGAGCTGAGTTTATATTCTGGGACATCTCTGTAGAGTCAGCCCATAGTGGCTGCTGCATAAGTATCATGGGTGAGGCTTCCTCAAGTGTATTTCACACAAGTCACTCTTGAGCTTGGCCAGATTTGAAATTGTGACAGAGGTCCAGTGTCTCCACAGCCTATTGCCTAGTTTCCTAAGTCACCCAGGTTCCCATTTTATGGAGATATACCTATCTCATAGAACTGGAAGAGACCTTGAGAGGTCATCAAGTCTAGACCCCCTGCCCTCACGGCAGGACCAAGCACCATCCCTGACAGATTTGCCCCAGATCTCTAAATGGCCCCCTCAAGGATTGAACTCATAACCCTGGGTTTAGCAAGGCCATGCTCAAACCACTGAGCTATCCCTCCCCAGAGGGACATCCAGGAAGTTCCTTCCTCCTCTGAGAGTTCAACCACCATGCCAGGGAAGGGCTTGCAACCTGACCAAGCTAGAGGCTGTGGGCCCAATCCTGCAGGGGAATAGTACCTCCCACAAAGCCCTCAGCACCCACGGGAGAGATCAGGACGGAGGACACCTTTCCCCTTGCAGAAACGGGCAATACAGGCCTAAGTCTATCAGGAGTTTTGCCAGAGACTTCGATGCAACTGGCTCAGGCCCTGGGCGCATTTCCTACTCTGGCTGAAATTCCGCACCATTGCGTAATGTGCGCAGAACTAATGTTCCCTGCAGAATTTTAATTTCTTCACAGGGAATTTGTGATGTCTACCAAAATGCTCCCAATGTCAGCCCCGGCTGCAGCTGGGGCTCCCGCTGGGCTCGTCAGGCCTGGGAAGGGTGAAGAGCCCTAAGGAGCAGAGGTAAGGCAAAGGCTGTATTAATGGTAGATTCTGAGCAGATGGGGCGAGCGCTGAGAGGGTGAACTGAGAGCAGCGGGGTTGATGGGGTAAGGCTGTTTAAACCTCATTTAAACGGGGGCAGGTGGAGGGCCTCTCCAGCCCGACTGGTCTGCCAGTTCACTGTAACTGGAAAGCAACACCCGGCATGGATGTTGCTTACCAGTTAAACATTCACACCCCTAGTAAGGGGGCTGAACTGATGAGGTGGTGGTGGTAACGGAGGCATGACCTGAGGGAGGGCTGAACTGTGGAGGGGGGGTTGATTATACTGTGTCATTTTGACAAATAAAATATACAGAATTTTAAGATATTGTGCAGAGAATTTGTAGTATTTTTGGCACCGAATTCCCCCAGGACAACTGCCCTGTGTCACCCCTGTAGTTCCATTCCAGAGCCTCTATTGACCCAAGCATGACAGTCGGGTGCCTTCTACGTGCAGCTCACATTACCGGGGAGTGGGAGGGAGAGAGGGAGCAGGTTTGGATCTTCTTAAGTGACTCATGCACAGAAGAATTTAATGGACTCTCTTACCCAGTGCCAGATAGAGAATTTGATTGTTGAGCGCAAACAGTAGACACTCAAGACTTTTAGCGAGAGGTGGCTGGGGTCCAGTCCGCACTCAGTGCCCACAAAGGCCACTCTCACATAAAATGACACAGCCAGATACCTGTGTCCTGAAGAGACACGAGAAATCTTCCCAATCTTAGTGTTCAGTGTGCGGAAGGCAAGTGGAAGTGAGGTCAACCACCCTCCACTTGGCATTTTAAGAAGGAAAAACAATTAGGGTGTGTCTAGACTACATGGCTCCGTCGATGGGGCCATGTAAAGTAGTTTACCCGACATAGTCAATGAAGCAGGGATTTAAATAATCCCCACTTCATTAAAATAAAAATGGCCACCGCACTGTGCTGACAATCAGCTGATCCGGCACAGCACGGCAGTCTAGATGCGAATTGGTCGACAAGGGAAGCCTTTGTCGACTGCTCTGTTATGCCTCGTGAAACGAGGTTTACCGGAGCAATCGACAAAGGCTTCCCTTGTCGACCAATTCGCATCTAGACTGCCGTGCTGTGCCGGATCAGCTGATTGTCAGCACAGTGCGGTGGCCATTTTTATTTTAATGAAGTGGGGATTATTTAAATCCCTGCTTCATTGACTATGTCGGGTAAACTACTTTACATGGCTCCGTCGACAGAGCCATGTAGTCTAGACACACCCTTATAATTCCACCTTCCCCCCAAAAAAAAGTCTCTTGAAGGTGTGAACTTACCAGATTTAGAAGGTTTTCTTTTTTCCCCTGGAAAAGTGTAAAGGTCTGTATTAGTCAGCGTAAGGCCGGCTCTTTTAGCATTTTTACAACATCAGGCACTGATAGACCAGGACAAAGCTGCCACAGGGTTAGAGCTAGTGAAGCCAGCGGAATGACAGCAGCTAACAACAGCTGCAGTGTTAGCACATTGCGGTCCTATGCAGATTTTGCCAGATTGGAAACTAAACAGTACACACCCACACTGCGTGAACTCGGTTGCTTACTTTACCAAGAGGCTGAAGCACAGGCTACCAGTCATTTCAGCTCTGACCATATGGGGCCTCATTCTGCACATGCACTATGTACAGCACTCCCATAGAAACCAACGGAAGATCAAGTGTCAGTCACCTACAGGACAGAACCAGTGGCTCCCAAACCACTACTGCACAGCTAACGCAAGACCAGTACCGCACTTCTTGCAGCGACAGCCAAAATAGCTATCCGTTTGGTTTGCTCTCTTCAGGGCATTAGCCACAGATGAATATCTCTGTAGGAACCATAGGTCATTTCTTCATGATTGGCGGTTGATGTTTTAAACCAATGGAATGGGGGAAACCGTCCCAAATCAGACTGAAAAACGTCAAGGTGAGAAACAGCAGTCCAAAAGTGCCTGTGTGGGGCACTTTATCTATGGGACCCAAGGCAAAGCCTCAAGAGTCTCTCCTGCCTACTCTCCCCTCATCCCCTGGCAGAATTGGGCCCCCATGAGCATAAATAGGAGAAAGAGCAACAGTAATAATGAACAATTCATCACTCACTGGTGTCTGCATCCTGACTCAGCTCTTGAGGCATCTGAGGCGCTTTGCTTATTTTTGAAGCATCTTGTGAAGGGAAAAGACAGAACATGAACAGCTTATAGAGCAGGACGCGTTACACGCGACAGTCAAGAAACAGACATTTATGGCAAGCATGATGGAGACTTCGGCCCTTTGCACTGTTACAGTGGAAGAGCTGGAGCAGCAGCCAGAGAACCGAAAGGCAAAGGAAAACCTTGCTTTGCTTCAGAACCTTTTCCAGCCGCACGGACACAGGCCGCAGTGCTGCTGACCACAGACCAGCCGGCCTCCTCACTAGGTGTCTGCTTGGCACGTACGAGGCACCTGACATTGAGAGGGGGCCAGGTGCACCCCGCTCCCACTGGGTTTGCACCCTACAGAAAGAACTCTGTACATCAGAGGATCAGGGGCCTGGATTATAAGGCAGCACCCTCTGGGCACCAGAAAGCAGCATGGAGGCCCATAGCATGACCCTGTCATCCCTCCAGAATTGTCGGGCATTTCACATGAAGAACTAGCTGCCTGCAGCAGAGTGGTGATTATTCCAAATCCCATCAGTAATGCCACACCCTAGGGCAGGGGTGTGCAATCATTTTTTGCTGGGGGCTGAAGTGGGCCTGGGTTGCCCTGGAAGGGGTGGGGTGCCAGGGGTGGGGCATCAAGAGGAAGGGGCGGGGTCAGGATACTTCCCTGCTTCCTCACCCACAGACCAGGATTGGTCTGGGGGTGGGGGAGTGCCTTTGCCCCACCCCCAGAGGTTTCCCCTACACACCCATGCCTCTGGCAGTGGGAGGAGACTTTGTGCGCTCCCTCTTCTGCCCCCAGGCCAACCAGGGCTTGGGGGGCAGGGGAGCGCACGAAGCCTCCTCTTGCCCTACCAGGTGCATGGTGCTTTTAAGAGCCACGCGCTCCTCTCAGGGTGGGGGCAACTTTGCGCGCTCTCCCTCGCCCCCAGGCTTGGGGGTGGGGAGAGCGTTCAAAGTCTCTTGAAGTGCCATGCGCTCTTGGCAGGGCGGAGGAAATGTCATGTGCTTTCCCCCGCCCCCAGACCCTAATTGGCCTGTGGACAGGGCAGTGGCAGGTCCTCCGCAGGCCGGATCAACCCACTCACGAAGGCCCTTTTAGTCACCTCTGCCCTGGGGGCTTGTCTCCACTATGCTGTGGATCAACACCACAACAAATCGATCCACCGGCTGTCAATTTACTGTTTCGGTTTAGATGTGACAGATTGATCTCCGAGTGCTGTCCCGTCGATGCTGGTATTCCAAGAGTTGCCAGCGTCAATGGGAGAGCAGCTCCCATCGACCTTACCGCACAAAAGACGCCACAGTAAGTATGCTGACTTCAGCTACGCTATTAGTAGATTAGCTAGATGGTGGGGGTTAGTGCAGACTATGCCTAAATTCTTGGGGGTGGGGAGGGAACAGATTACACACCAAGAATGTCTTCTCCAAGGGCACCCCCCTGCAGATGTTATGTGCCAGTCCCATACCAACGTTATGTTAGAGGAATACCGTCAACTTAAACCCTGTAAAATTAACTCTCTTCTCGAAAGTGCACCCGTGAATTAAGAGCTCTTCAAGTTATTCATTTTTATTTGTAACATTTTTCTTCCAGCTCCCATGCAGAAATGTAGGGGGGAAGGAAGCCTTTTGGGTGGGTGAAGGAGCAACAAAGCCAACCCAGCTTGGGCCCACCTTTCAGTATGCAGGCCTGCTTTTTGCAGCAACCTTTACAGGTACATGCCCTCTGGCAGAGCCTGAGAAAAAGGAGGAGTATTCTTGACACTGTCCTGTTGGGAGGGATGTCATCACACCAGCACAAGAGACAAGATGAGCCACCAACAGCCACATGCACTGACCATCTGACATCACTGGGTGGAGAATCTAACCAAGCACACGGCTGGGGGAATAAATTTCTCTGGGCTTCCAGTTCCAGTCTTCTATGGTTTCAGACAATGTTTTGAAATGGAGATGGAATTTTCAAGTTGACGGTGCCCTTGGTAGCCACCGATTTGCTCTAGCAGCTACTGCTACTGCACTGACGGCTAAAGGAAAAACGAAATGAGCAGCATTTGGGGTTTGAGGGCCACATTGTTAACTTACGTGATCCAGCAGCTTTTTTTCCAGACGCTGGAAGTTTATTAGGAAGAGTTGCTTGAAAAGCTTTAGGCTTCCACTGTGGATTTGCTGCAATGAAAGTCACATACACCATCATTTCACGTTGTATTGCTGCAACAAGGTACAGCAAGAGGCAGCACAGTCTGGGGGTAAAGATATCTGGCTGGGAACCAGGAGATATATGACCAAGCCTAGTGCAGAGCTGGGAGTTCAATGTAAACCCTAGTCCTACAAACACTTTTCGCTCAGCTTAATGGGACTATCTTAAGTTCCCGACTCTACAAACACTTCATCTTTCTGCATCTGTAAATCAGAGTTTGCATTTCTATCGATGCAAACCATGAACTAGCCTGGCAATAAAAAAGGCAGTAGTGGACTTCGGGGAGACTCTTTTCCTCTTTCTGTTACAATGTAAGCTCTTTGCAGCAAAGACTTGCTGTCACTGTATGCGCAACACCTGACACAATGCAGCTCCCCGTCTTCTGTAACACTGATGAATAACAGTGCACAAGATTATAAAAATAAAGATCATAACAATGTTGTCATCTTCCTACATCTGACACAAGGTCCTGCAAAAAAAAAAAAAAAAAAAAAAAGTCTTTCCAGTTACTGAGGTACAGTGATCAGTACCACTACTTTGCAGGTATTCCATAAAAAACACATTTAAAAATAGAGTTAGAAGGAGTAAGATTTAAATAGCTGTGATAGGAGGTGAAGGCATTGTGGACTCACCCTTCTCCTCCACACCTGGTCTGGACTGTCCACTGCGGTTAGGGATATTTGTATCAGTAAGTACAACTGTTTCAAAGATCAATATGTATCTATTAGCAGCTCTTTCTGTTCCACTAGCTTGTATGCCTCAACAAAAGAGCTGGCTCTAGACACAATGAAGATAGCACAGCCTCTTTCGATACTTTGTAAACCAAGCCAGAGCTCACTTCACTTTCCAATGCAGTGCAAAGGTCTTGTCTACACTGGAAAAGTATCTCAGTTTAAACTATAGGTTGAACATCTCTCATCCAGCACCCTCGGGACCAGACCAGTTCCAAACGAGAGAGTTTTCCGGAGCACAGGAGGTCAGTGTTTTCTGCAGCATTACCTACATTTCCACTGCATACTGCGCTTTTAGAAGACATTTAGGGGTAAATTAGAGCTAAATAACAGCACAGGACACTGAGAGCTAGGACTGGTGACTGTACACAAACATTATGGGGCCATGGGAAATTTACCCACACTCATGAAAAATGGACATCGGTCTGACTACAATCATTCCGGACGACGGATGTTTCTGGATGAGAGAGTTCTGGATGATAGAGTTCCAACCTGAATCTGGATTTAAAAAAAAAAAAAAATCTACTTGAAATGGCACAACCCCCTAAAAACAGGCACTTGAACCATCTTATTTTAGAGGTTCAGACCATTTCAACTAGATGGATTTATTGTTCTAGAGAAGTCGACCAGTTTCACCTCCGTGAACTATAGTTCAAAAATCATCCCCGCTCGGAGATTTGCCTCTCCCTAGAGATATAGCTGAGCCCTGCAACTGAACTGTATTTACAAAAGTCTGATCCCAGAAACATTTATTCCCTTTCAATTTTATTTATGCTTTTGCTTGTAAGTCACTGTCAGACTTTTATATGCCTGAACTTGAAGTTAAAGAGCCAAGCCTAGTCTGGTCTTTCTAGTTACTGGGGTACAGTGATCAAGGGGAGTCTCAAGGGAATAACTTGACCTCTACAAAGAGGGTATAAAACCTGACTCTCTGCCACACACTTCAAGAATGCACTTAACTCAATTTCAGGCAAAAAGTACAGCCTAACACTTTTGATCTGAAAAGAGGGCTATCGGTCCCATTCAGCATGTCTGACTTGCAGCTAAGGAGCCAATAAACTAGAAAGCCTAATGAGGATAATCCACTTTTCCATCAGTGCTGCAGAATTCACAAACATGCATGTCACATTCATCATCTTGACTCCAGGATCTCCACTCAAACCCAATTCCCCAGTCTAAGTTCATGTATCAAACAACCAAATGTCTGCTCTCTACAGCATGACTCTACAGATGCAAAGGAGTACAGAAGGAAAATAATGTTCTGTGCTAAGGCTGCAATCACCGATGAGACACATCCCAAGGTGCTAGGAACACTGACAAACCCACCTACCGATATACCGACAAAGCAAATTCCATTTATTTCACATTTTTAATTCTCTGCACATATGCCAATTGCTCAGAACAGAGATGTGAACGGGTAACCAGTTTACCTGAAAAGTGTCACCCAGTGAGGTTATCAGTTAGACAGCTCCCAAGTACCAGTTACCACAGGTAAAAGCGGCGAGGAGCCCTGTGGCACCTTATAGACTAACAGAAGGGTTGGAGCATAAGCTTTCATGGGCAAAGACCCACTTGGTCAGATGTATCTGACCAAGTGGGTCTTTGCCCATGAAAGCTTATGCTCCAACCCTTCTGTTAGTCTATAAGGTGCCACAGGGCTCCTCGCCGCTTTTACCTGTGGTAACTGGTACTTGGGAGCTGTCTAACTGATAACTAGCTAAAGGGCTACTCCAGCCTCACCCATGCCATGGGCTGCATTGGGAAGCCAGGCGGCAGCTCAAGCCAGGCTGGAGCAGCACCCCCCACCCATGGGATCTTGCTTAATCAGTTAACCAGTTAAACGTAGCCAGTTAATTGATTAAATGGGATGTTACATCTCTAGCTTAGAGGTGAATTTTACCTCACAGGGCAAGAGTCAAAACTAAATTGAAGATAACTTTCTATTGGAATTCTGTCAAAGGCAACAAGAGAGGGAAGCATCACAACATCTTTAAGTTTAACCAGATGTAGATAAACCAAACCAGGGTTACATTCCTGTTGATAAGCTTTAAACAAGACACTGCTACATCAGTTATCTTTCCGAGACATGCTGAGCATTTAACTTCGAGCATTTTTAAATTTGAGGAGGGTTCCATCAGTTTATGAAGCAGCTCTATTGACCAGCAGTTATACAAAATGGTAACACACCAGAAGAGTCTGTGTCTGAATATTTTAAACTTAAGAAGTTTCACTACTTGCTCTCAAAATAATAAAACATCCACCCACAGTGGCAATTTTCTCTCAAATGATAGGGTACCTTCCATTTTCTTCTCCTGAGGCCGATTCACCGTTCGTTTCACTATTTCTTTCAAGGAAAAGGCACCCTGATAAATAGTATGTATCAAGTTTTGGTCTAGATCATTTCTGGGGATGAAAACATCTTTGGTTGAAGTCGGTCGCACTTTCGCTGCTATCTGTAATAAGATACAGAGTTCATGAAGTCAGGCATAAATCACTACACGGAAAAATTAGAGTCGGGATTGTCATAATTGGGTTACATTATTTTACTTGTGCATTATTTCTTGTGTGTGTTAATTTATGAGGAGAGAGAAGGGACGTTATATTCAAACACCAATGTGAACATGACAAAATCCAATAAAAAGTGAGACAATAATCCATACAGGCTACATGATAGCTTAAAACTGAGGAAGAGCTACTGGAGATGTGTCCCAGCAATGAACATGGGCGGCCAGTAATGTAGGAAAGGGAAGGTACAGCGTTCCCAAAACTGTCTATGCTTGGCACACCGGGGAGGAGTGGGGCCACGGCAAAGCAACGTGGCATGGGCAGGGCTTGGCTCCAGGACTGAGGCCTCAAGCAGAAGAGATGGGGCTGGGGCTTGCCTTCCCCAGTTGGGCCTTCACCTGCTGCCCATGGCAACGAACCTAAGTTGCACCATAGCTACCTCTCTAGTTAACTGACCCTGCCAATATGGTGCAACTGTGGATAAATGCGGTGAGAAAAAGATAAACTGGAAGATAACGGGCCTATAAAAAGGGAGAAAACAAAAACAATCATGCAGACAACAACAAGAGTAACAGTGCTAACAAACAATTTAAAGGGCAGATTAGCCCGGAGTACTCACTGGACAGTTAACTCAATGGACTCACATGGCAATTATTAATACAACCTTTGCAGAAAAACTCTTTTTAGGTACAGGAGGCCCTCAACTTGTGACACGATTGGTTCTTGGGGAAGCATCGCAAGTCGGGGGCATCGTAACTCGAAGCCTCATTTACAATAGGTGCCATGCACTATCGTAAATGCGGGCCAAGGACGTATGCTGGGGTTTTCGTTACCTTCCACACTTACGAAGATGGTTGGAGGTGGGGGGGCAGAGCTCGGGTGGTCATAAGTCGGGGGCCTCCTGTACAGTTAGCGGACTGGAAAAACCTTAGAACAGGCCCCCTGTGGAAGACTCTTTCTGAGCTCAATAAAGTCGGACATCAGAACCTACCTTTAAAAATGTAATATCATCATCTTCAGTCAACGCCATTTCAATCTGGTCTCGGACCATCTGAATTTCATTTTTCTTCTTTCCCAGGACGCTATGGATATAATCGTATTTAACACTGACTCGCTTTTCTTCTTCTTCCACTTTCTTTATTGCCTGGTTTTCTTCTTCTTCAATTAAAGCTTTAATTTCCAAGAACTCACTTCTCAGCAAATCCATCTTTCGGGCAGCTGTTTCCTAAATCACCAACATATTGACACTGGTTTCAAAGCGGCCATTTGCAGGGTAAGACCGTTAGTGAAATATCTCCATCTCCATTCCATTTCCCCCATGGCAGCCCGGCTTGCCGAGGGCCTCATCCTTCCCCTCACATCAGTGGAAAGTCAGCTATTCACTTCAAAGGGGGCGGAAACTGAGCCCACCTCCATCCTCACCCATCAAAATGAGTCACTCAGCGTTAGTCGTGAAACAAGGCAGGTTGTGCCATCTTGTGGTTAGATCGAGACTTCCTGGTCTGCCTTCCTGAGGAAGTCAAAACTTCCATGCTTTATTTAGCTCACCCTTTTGATAAAGTTTATAACAACTCCAGTCTCACCGGGGTTTGTGAGTCGCCATTAACTATCATCTGGTGAGCACTTCCAGATCCCCCAAGACTAGCCCTCCAAGGGTGCAAAGTCATTATTAGGAAGGGATGAGCTGAACATGTGTCTGATCTGGTAGGGTATTCACATGCAGTAGCTCGCTGGTCAGCAGCACGGATTGAATTTGGGACCAACTGATCTAACACTGGGAGCTGCTATTGCCTGGTCTAAAAGACCAGCTACATTAGCTTGGAGACAGTAGCAAACTAAGCTCTTGCTACATGGTCCACTTGTTAGAGGGAAAAACCCATAATGAGTTGAAATAAGTTACATTTCCTCTCCCCCAACTCCACCTGGGTGAAGCACATCCCTAGCATCAGCTCCCCCAGACATCTGGAGCCTACAGGTCACCATTTGCCATTACGCTGCTCTCATGAGATTATAGGGCACAACCGCAAGAAGTCCCCTGCTCTTTTGTATAGTAGACATGACATTATCAGGCAGCCAGCACAGCTCATAAACACATTGCTCTCAGAGGGCAGTGACAGGCATGCTACTGCCTACTGGCAGTGGGAGAGAAGGATGGAGGGGTTTAAAACAGTCTCCTGTTGACTCGTCTGTGAGACTGCACAAATAGTGCTCTCACCCTCAACTTCTCTGACACGGGTTGTGCTGGCTGGTTACCCTCACTTTCTGCAAGAAGGCTTCATTATGGGGTGAATACGGTTTTTTGGTCGCTTTCCAGTAGTTACCTTGCACTGAGACACAATACATCTGGACCCTTAGCTAGTGTCTGCAGCAATCTAAGGTAAATCAAATTAAAGCCACTCAGTTATGAAGTGTGTCCGTACCCTGGTTTCATGCTTCTAAAAAAGTCTCAGAGGGGTAGCCATGTTAGTTAGTCTGTCATATAAAGAAAGATTAAAAGGACTTGGACTTTTCATCTTAGAAAAGAGGAGACTAAGGGGGGATATGATAGAGGTCTATAAAATCATGACTGGTATAGAAAAACTGAATAGGGAAACGTTATTTACTTATTCCCACAATATAAGAACGAGGGGTCACCAAATTAAATTAATAGGCGGCAGGTTTAAAACAAACAGAAGGAATGTTTTCTTCACTCAGCACACAGCCAACCCCACTTGCCAGAGGATGTGGTGAAGTCTAGGACTTTAACAGGGTTCAAACGAGAGCTAGATGGATTCATGGAGGTTTGGTCTATCAATGGCTATTTGCCAGGTTGGATAGGAATGGTGTCCCTAGCTCTGTTTCTCTGGAAGTAGGTAACAGGGGAGCGACTTCATGAGGATTACCTGTTGCGTTCCCTCCCTCTGGGGCATTTAGTATTGGCCACTGTCAGCAGACAGGATACTGGTCTGATCCAGTATGGCTGTTCTTATGTTCTTAGGTCTGCCCTAAACAAAGCAATGTGTCCTCTGTTTAACTGCCATTTAAGCTGTAAACCAGTGGTTCCCAAACTTTTCAGCATCACACCCCCTTTTTGATTTTTGAGAAACCCTCATGCTGCCCCCTCACAAAAAAAATAGCAGCAAAACTTGGGAATGGGAGTGACGGGTGTATGTGTGGCTGGGTCGCCTCACGCCCCCCCTGAAATTTCTTCATACACCTCAGTTTGGGAACCCATGCTGTAAACAGTCATCAATCAGGAAGGGAAGACAAAGGAAGTTCAAATTGGTGGCAAAAAATAACAAAAAACAGCAGAGAATAGTCTTCCACACAAATTCCATCTCCTGAATCTCAGATGAAAAAACGTTTCTAAGAGGAGGCTTGGCACTAGAAAAAGGAGCACACACACACCCCACCCCTCCGCAACTCTATAACTTGGGGGAGTGCCCTGTAACCTCCATATTTCTCATTTTGTATATAATTGTGGTGTTGCATATAAAGCATGCCATGTGTGGGATAGGGAAAAGTTATGATCTGCTGAGGGTCATTTTTTCTATGTAAAAAGGTCTAAGGTCTATCGTTCATGCATATAAAGTATAAGAATATATCATCAGGTTGTTCCTAAAATATGCTGTGGGTTTGGGAAGCACACTTGTTCTCCAGAAACAATGACAAGGGGGTAGCCAGCACCTGGGTAGGTGCTGAACGGAAATCACCAGACGTTGTCCAGGAAGGGAGCCACAATTCAAGGGAGCCACAATTCAATGTTTCAACTACTTAAGGACACACCCGGAATATTACTCAACTTTGCCTGTGGACTCAGCAATGCCCAGACATGCCTGGACTCGTATTCTCCAAGCATATAGGACTGAGGGCACAGAACAGAAGACAAAGGACCATGCTTCACCTTTCTCCTGCCCCCACCTATGTGGCAAGCAACAAGGACACTGAAGGTACGTCTACACAGCAGCATTATTTCAGAATAACTGATGTTATTCTGAAATAAAGAGTGCATCTACATAGCAAGCCTTTATTTTGAAATAATGTCGAGCTGGAGGACTTCTGACTCTGACTCCTGTAACCCTCATTTCACTAGGAGTAAGGGAAGTCAAAGGAAGAGTGTTCTTCCATTGACTTCCTGCTGTGTAGACAGTGCCAAAAGGTCGAGGTAAGCAATTTTGACTTCAACTACGCAATTAACATAGCTGAAGTTGCATAGCTTAATTTGAGTTTTGCCCTGCTGTGTAGACATACCCTGAGAAGAATTAAGACTCCAACAGCAGAGACTGACCCTGGTTTAAGGGCCAAACTTGTACAGTAAGGAGTGTAATATCGAGTGGGGGTGAGGAAAGACTACTTAATCTAGCTGTTGTTCACTCTAATAGGGTTGAGAGTTTAGATGGCATGTTTATTTTCTTTTGGTAACTACTCTTTTTGCCTCTTATTTAAAAGCCGTCTGTTGTAGCCAATACACTTGTTTTACTGTTTATCTTCACCTGTGAGTCTGCCTGAAATAAATCTGCAGTAATTTGCCTGGTAAATGGCTCAGGTTTACAAAGGCTAGTGTATGTCCACTTTCCATTGATGAAGTGGTGAACCAATAAATTTGCTCTGCTCCTCTGAGGAACAGTGCTGGGCGGAGGAACACCTGGTACCTTTCTCTGTGGCTCCAGAAGCATTCAAGCAATCTAGCTGGGTATGGAGCTCCAAGTGTTTTTGGGCTGAATAGTAACACCACCTGAAGGGTTTTGCTGCTGGGCTCTACTAAAGCATTAATAGTGGCAGTCCATACTGGAGAGTTATGGGGTACAGTTATCCCAGGCTGCACCCCAAGGATCTTGCCATACAATTCTATTCATCAGTTCACTGGACCCGAACAATAAAGTAGCCAATGGACTACTGAAAGCATGTGTGGAGAAAACTGTTTTGAATTTAGCCATTTGTTAAATTAGGCACCAGTTGCATTTGCTTTTAATTTTTCTTGTAACCATTTCTGACTTTTATGCCTCATTACTTGTACTGATTTGAAATCTGTCTTTATAGTTTGTACACTTGTTTTATTTAATCCAGTGTGTTTAAATTGAAGTGTAGAGGAAACGCCATATGGGGTGTCAGCTGTGTGCATAGTTTCTATTACAGAGATAATGGACTTTGTGTAGGTTGTACTGCAAGGAGAGGGCTGGGCAGCATAGAACAAACATCCCTGGGCATGTGCTGTGGTCACCCTGCAGCATAAGGCTGATGAGAGCCAGGCAGAGTGTAACCCAGCGTGGCTGGCAGGCTGCAGTTGCACACAGACACTCAGGGTATGGCTTGCGTGCCGGAAGGCTGTTTGCAAGCATCCCAGGTAGGAGCTCCTTCACCAAGGTAACATAAGGCACCCAAGGTTGCAGGGTAGGGTGACCCAGCTGCTCACCAAGCCTGGATTGTATTTTAATATGTCACAGGATGTCAATCTTATCTCACTATTACAGCATCTTATTAGCCACCTCCAAACAGCCAGGATCCCAGGGGCCGTCAAACCCCAACCCCAGAATGATTTTAATGAAGGGCTCTCTGCTTACACTGGCTTGTTTTTGAAGCACTCTCACTTCATCCAGTGCTCGAGAAGCTTTTTCGCTTTGATTATACAGCTCCGTCAGTTTGTTCTTCAGCTGGGACTGCAAGAAAACAGATCAAACCCCACATTAAAAGCACAGATAGCTGCACCACTTCCCAGTATGCACCACATAAATAGTGAAAAGCAAAATGAAATAGTTTTAATCAGACTTTTTTCCACTTTTTTTTTTAATCCAGTGTTCCTTAACTGTAGAAGGAAAAAGAATCTGTGTACAGGATCGGGATAGCAATGAAAAATCTTTGATGTAGCATCATGTTTTCTGAGTTGCAACACACACGCAATCCCACATAAATTTCGTGGAATCATAGAATACAAGCATGGAATTTAATGGAACCTCAAGAGCTCATCGCATCCAGTCCCCTGCCCTCACAGCAAGACCAAGCACCATCTAAATCATCCCCAACAGATGTCTGTCTAAACTACTCTTAAAAATCTCCACTGAAGGAGATTCCACAACCTTCCTAGGCAATTTATTCCAGTGTTTAACCACCTTGGCAGTTACAAAGTTTTTTTTCTAATGTCCAACCTAAAGCTCCCTTGCTGCAATTGAAGCCCATTGCTTCTTGTCCTAGCCTCAGAAGTTAAGGAGAATAATTATTTTCAGCTGCCCCAGCTGTCAGTCCTCCTTCCTCCTCCCCTCCACTGCACTTCTCATTTTTAAATGTATAAAAGCTGGCAGGCTCTTAACACATTTAAATCTGCCCCAGCTGTCAGTTCTCCTTCCCCCTCGCCCCCACTGCACTTCTAATTTTTAAATGTATAAAAGCTGGCAGGCTCTTAACACATTTAAAAAGCAGAGGCTCAGTGTCTGGGAGTAGGTGCGAGCCAGGAATCGGCTATTCTCAGCTCACACCCTGTCCTCACTACACCCCTGCCTGCCCTGTTCCCGCACAGAGACAATGCTGGGGGGAACTGGCTTTTAAGCCGGATCAGCTCCTGCTCCCACTCCCCCCGTTGTTGGCTCTGATAGAGGCAGCAAGGCGGGGAAGCAACTAGTCAAGGGACTAGACAACTAGTCACTTACATCCCTAGCTCTGACCCCCACCTCCTAAAAGCTTATGCTTGTGAGTCACCTGATTGGCATGCACATGAACAAGCACTTGAAGAAGCAATAACAGTTACTCACCTTTTATAACTATTGTTCTTCAAGATGTGCTGCTCATGTCCATTCCAGCGCCCACCCTCCTTCCCCTCTATCGGAGTAGCTGGCAAGAAGGAACTTGGGCAGGGATGGGCAATCATTTTTCGAAAATTTTTGAAGTGGCCCTGGGACATATAGGAAGGGGCGGGGCATCAAGCGGAAGGGGTGGGGCCAAGATATTTCTAGGTTTCCCACCCCCAGACAATGATTGGTCTGGGGGCGAGGAAGTGAGGAAACTTCCCTCGTTCCCCTGCCCCTAGGCCAGTTAGGGCCCGGGGGCAGAGGAGTGTGCAAAGCCTCCTCCACTCTCCTCCCCTCCCCCGCCCCCCAGAAGTGCACAGTGCTTCAAAGTGCAACATGCTCCTAGCAGGGTGGGAGGAGGCTTCGCACGCTCTCCCGCCCCTAGGCCCTAATTGACCTGAGGGTGGAGGAGCATCAGGGCCTCTGTAGGCCGGATCCAGCCCACAGAGACCCTTTTGCCCACCCCTGAACTTGGGGGTTGGCAAGTCAGCAAGGCTCTATCTTGAGTGCCATATTGGCGCCACTCCAGGGGTCGTCTAAGCTGACCCGAGAGCTGCTGCTAGGCAAAAAAAATCTTCTAGCTTCCGCGAACGTACACACCTGACTGGAACGGACGTGAACACCGCATCTCGAAGAACAGTCAGGAAAGGTGAGTCGCTGTGTTCCCCCCCCTCCCTCCCTTGCAACCACTTCTCTTACTTAGTTAAGCCTTGGCCTTTTCCCCAGACAATCCAACACAAGTCCTAACTCATGCTGGGTCCGGGAGTGCTGTTATAAGATGGGCAACCTATGAATGAGATTGAGGCCACCCCAATCATTACTAGGGATGTGAATGGTTAACTGGTAAGCCTCACCCTTAATGAATCAGTGTTGGTTAATTGGTAGGGGCTGGAGCAGTTTGGGCAGGGAGCTGCTCCAACCGCACGGGGCCCACCATAAAGAGGCACTGCTTGCTTCCTCCCGCTCCTCAAAAGCCCTTAATACAGCTCGCAAAGATCCAGCAGCTAAAATATGTTAACATAGCTCCCTACAAGCTTGGGATTAGACTGTCCCTCTTAGGCATCCTTAGCACTGAAGAATAACGGAGGCCTCCTATGCCAAGTTCGAAAGCGGTGCCACTTCCCCCATAACAGCTAAAGCCTGAATAATCCAAGCCTCATTTGCTACTAGGTTGATTCACACATATACAAAGCTCCCACTGTGCCCATGTGCTCCAGAGCCTGGCTTGTATCCTGATGGTCACAAGCTGTTCTCTTAGAAAAGGAACAGGAAGAGAGAGAGATTTTACAGGCATCTTACACATTACAAAGATAGCTTCCCCAATTATCACCTCTAATACTATTAACTCACAGACATTTCCCCTTCCCCACCTCTAATATCATTAACTCACTGGCATTCACCTTCCTTCCCCCCCCCCCCCACATCCCCCTTCTGTTCTGCAATGTGATTTGTCCTTTTCATGTGTGTTCATTTTTTTTTAAATTGTATCCTTTGGTATATATGGTTGTGACTGTTTTCTTCCATTATTTGATCTGAGGAAGTGGGTCTGGCCCACGAAAGCTCATCATCTAATAAACCATCTTGTTAGTCTTTAAAGTGCTACATTGTCCTGCATTTTACAGGCAGTGCAACTTAAAAGCCAGACCTCTGAAGTTTTGTTAGACACTAAGGCTACGTCTAAACTACACCCCTCTGTCGGCAGAAGGATATAAATTAGACACATCGAAAGTGCAAATGAAGCGGGGATTTAAAAATCCCATGCTTCATGTGCATAATCGCGTCCTGGCGCAGTTTTGAACAAGCGCCATTTCGAAACGGAAACCGTGGTTTAAACGCAGTTTTTCCAAAAAACCATGTCTAAACCGTGGTTTCAGTTTCGAAATGGCGCTTGTTCAAAACTGCGCCAGGACACGATTATGCAAATGAAGTGCGGGATATTTAAATCCCCACTTCATTTGTGCTTTCGAAACGTGTAATTTACATCCCTCTGCTGACAGAGGGGTGTAGTTTAGACACACCTTAAGTCTGTGTATGGTCCTGATGGTACTTTTGGGACCTGCAATCCCTATCACCACAATCTGCTGTTCCTAAGGCCTGTCCAGGATCTTGAGAAGGATGAATGGTGCATCTTCTAAGACAGGGATTCTCAACCTTCTTTTTGACCCCTCCCCAACAAGCTATACAAATTCCACAGCCCACCTGCACCACCACAACTATTTTTCAATACATAAAAGCCAGGGCTGGCAATAGAGGATAACAAGCAGGACAAGTACAACACAGGGGGCACCCCGAAAGCTGAATAGCTCAGACTTCAACTTCAGCACCCAGTTGGTAGATCTTGGGGTCCCAGGCTTCTGCTCCACACAATGGGGCTTTAAACTTGCTGGGGTGCAGGGCAGAAAGTCTGATGCCTGCCCTGATTGGTGGCCCCCTGGAATCCTGCTCAGAGCATGCTCCCCCCCACCCTAGACCCCTGGCTGAAAAATGCTGATCTAAGACAGTGCTCTCAAGTGCCAGACCATGGACTGGGGCCAGTCCCTGAGCTCTCTGATTATCAAATAGGTTGAGAAAGAGGGCAGATGTTCCGTAGGTGGGAGCAGTCAGAGAACAGCAGCGCAAACACAGCCCAGGGGCAGAGTTCCCTGTAAGCTGGGTCACTCAGGAGAGATCCCAACACCTCCCAGCTGATCAGCAGAGCGCTCACTAGCGAGACTGCGTGTTTCTACTGGTGGTGCATGCACATGCCTGGGTGCGCATCAAAATTATTCCGCACGGGGATGGGAGAGATTAGAGGGAACATTGCTAGGAGTCCCATGCAAGAGGTTCCAGAGAAGGGTCCCGGCCAGTGCTGATCAGCACCTCTGTCCAAGCATCCCCCTCCTCTCCCATCCCTCCTCACCTCCTTCTCCGCCTTGGCCTCCTGCACGGGGCTGGTGGCACAGGTCTTGTGGCTGACCAGGCACACGCAGCAGATGCAGGTGGCGTGCTCGGGGCAGTAGAACTCCAGCAGCTTGTTGTGCTGCTGGCACTTGCGCTGCTGCAGGTCGCGCAGGGGCAGGCGCAGCTCGTGGTCCCGGAAAGCCGGGCTCTCCTGGTGGGGCCGCAGGTGCTCGTGGCAGAAGGAGGCCATGCAGGTGAGGCAGGTCTTGGCCGCCGCGGCCTCCAGGCAGGTGTCGCAGGGCACCTCGGAGCCGCTCCCCTCCCGGCATTTCTTCTCCTCGGCCGGCTCGCCGGGCTGCGAGCTCTGGAACTGCTCCACCACCCGGCACAGCACCGTGTTCTTCTGCAGCTCGGGCCGGCGCTGGAAGCTGGCCCGGCACTGCGGGCAGCTGAAGCCCTGCTGGAGGCCGCTCCAGGTGACGTCCAGGCAGGGCCCGCAGAAGTTGTGGCCGCAGGGCGTGGTGACCGGGCTGTCGAAGAGGCACAGGCAGATGGAGCAGGTCAGCTCCTCTTCCAGCCCGGCCAGGCAGGGCAAGGACGGCGCCCGCAGTAGCTCCGCCATGGCTCCTGCCACGACCTGGGCAGCTGGGGATGGAAAGTGAAACTCAAAGCAGAGGCGGAGCAGCTGGAAGTTCCTGGAAATCACGTGGAAGGGGGAAAGTTCAGCGCGGGGGGGCCTCCCTAGCAAACCCCTCCCTGCTAGGCGCTCAGGCTGCAAACTTTCTCCCATTTCTGCTTATTTACGCTCCCCCTTCCGCAGCCTGGATTTTCTGGTGCGCAGTTCTGCAATGTATTGACTTTCCTCTTTACATAGAATCACAGGGTTGGAAGAATAGTGATAGAGATGTAGCCGTGTTAGTCTGGGGTAGCGGAAGCAAAATGCAGGACAATGTAGCACTTTAAAGACTAACAAGATGGTTTATTAAATGATGAGCTTTTGTGGGCCAGACCCACTTCCTCAGATCAAATAGTGGAAGAAAATTGTCACAACCATATATACCAAAGGATACAATTAAAAAAAATGAACAAATATGAAAAGGACAAATCACATTGCAGAACAGGAGGGGAATACAGGGGGGGAGAAGGAAGGAAGGTAAAGTGTCTGTGAATTGATGATATTAGAGGTAGGGAGAGTGGGATGTTTGTGAGTTAATGGTATTAGAGGTGATAATTGGGGAAACTATCTTGGTAATGAGATAGTTCAAATGTTTGTTGGAAGAGACCTCAGATGGTCATGGAGTCCAATCAGCTGCTAAAAGCAGGACCAATCCCACCTAAACCATCCCAGAAGCTTCAGGGGGTAGCCCAGTTAGTACAGGATAAACTTAAAAAACAACAAATGGTCTGTAGGATTTTATAGACGAACAAAACATAAGATGGTATCATGAGCTTTCCTGGGCACAGCCCACTTCTTCAAATGACTGGAACTCCGGTCATCTGAAGAAGTGGGCTTTGCCCACAGAAACTCATGATACCATCTATACGTTTTGTTAGTCTATAAAATGCTACCAGACCATTTGTTAAATCATCCCAGCCAGGGCTTTGTCAAACTTGGATTTTAAAACCTCTAGGGATGGAGATTCCACTCTCTTCAATTCAACCCACCTCCTTTTAGGATGGCCAGGATGAAGAACAGCACAGCTCTGGAGTTAAAAGATTTGCAAAAGCCCATACAAAGTGGCAATATGTTTTTCTTTCCCCACTCCTTCATGCATCCCGCCGGGCCATAGATGCAGAAAAGCTGAGTGAGGAGTTTAAGAAGAAAGCAAATTACATGAGTGAAAGATATAAAAAAGCAACAGGAATTTACAATATAAAAATATTGCAACATGATTTTTTTGACATTTTATTGTGAAGTGCAGGTGATATGTTCCAGATGGGTAGTTGTGTTAGGCAGTAACTTTAAAAACAAGTAGTCCTCTGGCACTTTAGAGATTAACAAATATACATAGAATCATGAATTTTCATGGGTAAAAAACACCTCATCAGATGAGTTGGCGTGGAAATAAAATAATCCAATATATATAACAGCAAAAGCAGTTACCTGTCAATTGTAGAACCTGTGTTAATGAAGCGAATTAAATAAGCTGGATATGTCCCATTCATAGCTTTTGATGTGTTTAACCAATATTTAATATATTTATTCAAGCCCAGGTTGACCTTGTGAAATTTGTAAATTAATGCCAGTTCAGCAGTCTCCCTCTGTAATTGTATAGTAAAATTCATTTGTAGAAGAATGGCTATTTTAAAATCCATGACTGGTTATATGTTGTGATTTTTTAAATCTAATGTATAGAATCCAAGAATACTAGAACTAGAAGGGACCTTGAGTGATCAAGTCCTGTCCCCTGCCCTCATGGCAGGACCAAGCACAGTCTATAATATCCATGATAGATGTCTGTCTAACCGGCTCTTAAATATCTCCAGTGGTGGGGATTCCACAACCTCCTTAGGCAATTTATTCCAGTGTTTAGGAACTTCCTGTCAGGGTGGTTAATGTCCAACCTAAACCTTCCTTGTTGCAGTTTAAAGCCCATTGCTTCTTGTCCTATCATCAGAGGCCAAGGAGAACAATTTCCCCCCCTCCTCTCTGTGATACCCTTTTAGATATCTGAAAACAGCTATCATATCCCCTTAGTCTTCTCTTTTCGAAACTAAAGAAGCCCAATTCCTTCAGCCTTGCCTCACAGCTCATGTTTTCTAGACCTTTAATCATTTTTGTTGCTCTTCTCTGGACCTTCTCCAATTTCTCCACATCTTCCTTGAAATGTGGTGCCCAGAATTGGACACAATGCTCCAATTGAGGCCTAATCAGTGCAGAGTAGAAAGAAAAAATGACTTCACGTGTCTTGCTCACAAAATTCCTGTTAACGCATCCCAGAATCATGTTTGCTTTTATTGCAAGTGTCACACTGTTGACTCATATTTAGCTTGTGATCCACTATTACCCCTAGATGAGTGTTTCTCAACCAGTGGTACAGTACCCTTAGAGGTACTTGAGAGAAGTCTGGGGGGTACATCAACACGACTGAAATTTGGAGAAAACTAAATTATTGTTTTAAGTTTTACAGCGCTTTATTATTTTTGTAATTTTTATACCCAAAAATTTCATCGCCCGCCCAGCTACAATTAAGTTTTTTAAACAAATGTGTTGCAATGGTAGAAAAAATATGGTGTGTCTGAAAACTGTAGGTACTGGGGGTACTTATATTTTTTAAAGGCGTAATTTATAAAAAAAAGGTTGAGAAACACTGCCCTAGATCTTTCAGCAGTACTCCTTCCTAGACAGTGGCTTTCCATTCTGTATGTGCGAACTGATTGTTCCTTCCTAAGTGGAGCACTTTGCATTTGTCTTTATTAAACGTCATCCTATTTACCTCAGACCATTTCTCCAGTTTGTCCAGATCATTTGATCCTCCAAGACAGTTGCAACCCCTCCCAGCTTGGTATCATCTGAAAACTTAATAACCGTACTCTCTATGCCACCATCTAAATTTCAGTCTTTATTCTTTCATTATGCTAAACCTTTTCATAGGAGGAAAAAAATAAGTTTGATTAGTATAAATAGGCAATAATGAAGTTCACTTTAGCTTTTTTCTGATTGCAGTTGGATGCTGTCCTTTTTCTACACCTGTATAATAAAATAAAAATAGTAACAAAATAGTATTAATACTTTGCTTTGCACTTCTATTCAACTGTCTCCACACATTTTATAAATATTTCTTAAGACCTCAGAATACTGTTCTGAGTACACAATGGTCACCTTTGCAATGGGAAAAAACAGCTGCAACAGAGCAAAGGAATACTGCACAACAATTTAGGATTAGAATCACACAGTATTATAAACCCCAAAGCTTTCAAAAATCATAAGTCAGTTCATAGAAATCATGAGATTGACTTAGATCATAGGATTTTTAAAAATAACACATTTGATTACAGGAATTCCCCGGGTTACATACAAGATAGGGACTGTAGGTTTGTTCTTAAGTTGAATTTGTATGTAAGTCGGAACTGGCACATATTGTAGGGGAAACTCTAGCCAAACATTTCTCCAGAGCTCAGTTTTATTCTCCCACACCTCACTTCCCTCAGTCCTTTATTCTCAAGCTGAGGTGTCTGCTGAGAAAAGCCTCTCCACGTCTCCCTGGTCTGCTGGGGGGAAGCAGCTAGTGCAGGGTTGCCTCACCCCGTTTGTAAGTAGGGATCCGATGTAAGTCGGATCCATGTAACCCAGGAACTGCCTGTATTTTTATTGACTATTTGCATCTTTAGAGGGTCACATTTTCAAAAGTTTATTAATAATTACGAAGACTAAAAACCTGTTCTAAAATAAAAAAGCTGAGATTCTGGTGTGTTCAGAAAATGCCAGATATCATGAGACTTGTCATAAAATGTCAAGGGTTGCCAATACTGAAAGTATATAATCAAAAGTGTGCAAAGAGTTCAGATGGGCAGTGTTATTACCAAAGTTAGAATTTGGAAAAGAGTAATACTACTTACACTTGCAAAAGGTGACATGGAATCTTTAATAACCATACATTGTCTAGATCCCGTATTATAAATCGTTAGAAATCCCTCCCGCACCCCCCACACTATCCTCTAACACAGTGGTGGGCACCCTGGAGCCCACAGACTGCATATGATCCACTGAGGATCTACCTGTGGAGCACAGACCACCGATTTGTCCCCCTCACCCACATGCCGCTTGCACACTGAGGCACCAGAGAACCATACTTCCTACTCTTCCCCTCCCTCCCAGCACTTTTGGAGTGCACGAATCACCTGATTTGCACTCTTCCCCCCTTCCTTCCCCTCCCTCCCAGAGCTGGAATGCCATGAATCAGCTGTTTGTAACTGTTCAAGCTCTGAGAGGGGGAGGAGCATGGATGGAGTGTGAGCCAGGTGATTTGCACCCTCCAAAAATGCTGGGAAGGGAAGGGGTAGGAATTGCGGGGCTCCAGCGCCCCGGTGCATGAGAGGCAGGGGCAGACAGGGAGGCCGCAGAGCCACAGGAGGAAACCCAGTGGACCACAGGTTGCTGCAGCCCACTGAGGTGAAGGAGGGACACTCATGCCACCCACGCCCTATTTTTGGTTACCATCGCTGTTCTAGCACCATGCTGGGACTGGTTTAGTACTGACTCAGAAGGAAGGGTGCCACTTAAATTCCTAATAGCTGTTCATGTGAAAAAATGAGCAAACAGACTAGAACAGTCTAAGAATAGATCAAAAACATCCCCTACTCCTTGAGTCAATCTATATTTTTGTGTTCTGCATTTCTAGTTTGCATAAGAAGTGGAGATTATGAAAACTCACCAGATGCCACGTTGATGTCTGACTCAACTGAAACTGGAAAGCTCATGAGAGTCTTAACTCCTAAACCAGTGTTTCTCAAGTACCCCTTTTTCAAAAAAAAATAAATCATTGTAACTATCCTCAGTACCTACAGTTTTTCAGACAATTTTTTTTTTACCATTGCAACATTTGTTTAAACAACTTAATCATAGCCAGGCGGGTGATGAAATTTTTGGGTGTAAAAGTTATAAAAATAATAAAGTGCTGTAAAACTTAAAACAAAAATTCACTTTTCTCCAAATTTCAGTTGTGTTGACGTACCCCCTCTCCCGTCTCTGGAGTACCCCTAAGAATACTCATACCACTAGTTGAGAAACACTGTCCTAAACTGTCCAATCTGATTTCTAAACCAAAAAGATCTGGATAATTTGATTACATGTACAAGTGAAATTGAACTTCTGACTCTATTGGGGTTTCCCTGCTTCAATGACTGCTCTGCTTCGTATGCACTGTCACATTGTTCAGGCAGCTTTCACCCATTTTCTCTGTGTACACTGATTGTTGCTTCTGTATATTACTAAGTTATATCTGAAAAGTGCAAACAGTGAGCAATAGATAATGTGTGCAGGGCTGAGTCACTGATTAAAAGTGACACTGCACTTTTCCATGCTATGGGCCTATGGCCAACTCCTGTGATTAAAAAATGAATGATTCTTTATGCTGTCATTTGTAAAGGACTGATATCAAGATGAGAATGTAGAAACTTTAAACATCACATACTAGAAGATTTACCCAACACTGCCCGAGTCCTTAACTCAATGTTTATTTTTGGAAAAGAAAATGAAAATGTACATGCTTCATTTAAATCATTGCTCCAGGGCGGGGCTGAGGATAAGGGTTCAGTATGCAGGCTGCCTCGGGGACAGAGGATAACCCAAGCCTTCTCTTACCACCACACCTTGGGGCCAGGTGAGAACACTTTTCCATGGCTACTGCAACTCCTGTGGGCACAGCCAATGAGGAGGGGTGCATGTCCCCCAGTTGGAACAGGTCCAGGTTCATCTGCCCTTGCAGCGTTTAGCATTACTACATGAGAAATTACTACTTCCTCAAATTATCTCTTTTCAATGGCCCATTAAAATAATTTCAAAAACAATTTTAATCTACTCCATGAGCAATACTTTTGAAAACCATACAATACTGTTTACCAAACTTTTCCAAAATAGGCACGATCCCATAGTTGGGAGAGAATGTTATGGTATCCTTTCACACTGAGGATACATCTCCGGGGGAGGGAACTCCAGTCATTAGGAAAAGGCAAGTGTTAGTAATGGGGAATTCGATCATTAGAAACACAAGATAGCTGCATCTGTGATGACTGGGAGAACCATATAGTGACTTGCCTGCTTGGTGTGAAGGTTGCATTGTGACATCTAGATAGACTTTTGTGTAGTGCTGGGGAAGAGCCGGTGGTCGTGGTACATGTAGGTACCAATGACATAGGGAAGGGTAGGGGAGAGGTTCTGAAGGCCAAATTTAAGCTTCTAGGAAAGAGATTGAAATCCAGGTTCTCTGTGGCAGTGTTCTCTGAAATGCTTCTAGATCCACTCACAGGGGCTGGTAGGCAGGCAGAGCTTCAGAGTCTCAATGCACGGATGAGATGATGGTGTAGAGAGGAGGGGTTTAGATTTATTAGGAACTGGGGAAACTTTTGGGATGGGGGAGCCTATACAGGAAGAATGGGTTCCATCTAAACCAAAATAGAACCAGACTGCTTGCACTTAACATTAAAAACTACTTTACAACCTTTTTAAACTCAGGAGGAGCACATGGATCGGAAAGAGATCTCTCTTAGGGCAGGGTCTATTAATAGAGTACATGGGAAGAAGGAAGCCGGCTAAACAATCAGTGGGGTCCTTGGATGATCGAGATGCTAAAGGAGCACTGAAAGATGATAAGGTCATTGCGGAGAAGCTAAATCAATTATTTGCTTCAGTCTTCACAGCTGAGGATATTGGGGAAGATTACCAAACCCGAGCCATTCTTTTTTGGTGTAAATCTGAGGAATTGTCCCAGATTGAGGTGTCATTAGAGATGGTTTTGGAAAGAATTGATAAACAGTAACAAGTCACCAGGACCAGGAGGCATTCACCCAAAAGTTCTGGAAGAACTAAAATGGTAAATTGAGGAACTATTAACTGATTTGTAACCTATCTTTCAAATCAGCTTCTGTACCTAATGACTGGAATCTTTACTCAATAACGTGGTGTCAATATTTAAAAAGGGCTATAGAGATGATCCTGGCAACGGGAGAAAAGTAAGTCTAATGTCAGAACCGGGAAAATTATTTGAAACTATAGTAAAGAATAAAATTGTCAGACACATGGATGAACATAATTTTAGGGGAAAACGTTTCTGTAAATGGAAATCATGCCTAACTAATCTGATAGAGTTCTTTGAGGGGGTCAACAAACATGTGGAAAGGGTGATCCGGTGGATATAGTACACTTAGATTTCCAGAAAGCCTTTGAGAAGGTCCCTCACGAAAGGCTCCCCTATGAAGAAAGATTAAAAAGACTAAAGGGGGATATGATAGAGGTCTATAAAATTATGACTGGGGTGGGAAAAGTGAATAGGGAAAAGTTTTTATTCCCACAATACAAGAACTAGGGGTCACCAAAAGAAATTAATAGGCAGCAGGTTTCACACAAACTGAAGTTTTTCTTCACTCAGCGTACGGCCAACCCCCTCTGGAACTCCTTGCTAGAGGATGTGGTGAAGTCTAGAACTTTAACAGGGTTCAAAAAAGAGCCAGATAGATTCATGGAGGTTAGGTCCATCAATGGCTATTCGCCAGGTTGGGTAGGAATGGTGTCCCTAGCTTTGTTTCTCTGGAGGTAGGTAACACGAGAGCAACCACGTGAGGATTACCTGTTGTGTTCCCTTCCTCTAGGGCACCTAGTATTGGTCACTATCAGCGGATAGGATATTGGGCTGGATGGACTATTGGTCTCACCCAGTGTGGCCATTCTTATGTTCTTAAATTTACCCCCAATCTGAAAGTGTGCAAGGAGACTGTTAGTCCCAAAAATTAGGGTTTAGAATGGAATCCTTTACTAAACATTATGCAATACAAAATAACTCATCATTTCTATTGTTTACAATAAAAAAGGTAGTACTGTACCAGCACATGCAAGAATGTAAAATTGACATTAATTTGCAATTGACTACATGTCAACCCTTAAAAACTCTTTTGAAAATATCAGCCAAGTTGCAACATCTGTTCACCCTTTGGTGTGATTTAGAATACAAATGACTTGCTAGTCAACAAAATACTACCCCTAAGCGAGCAGAATTTTGTAAACTTGGAAAACTTTGAATTACATTGGTCATTTTTAAAGATATACAAGATACAAGCAAAATGTAGATGTAGAAAAAAGATCTTAAAGCTATAATAATCCAAGGTATTTAGCATAAAGGTAAATTGCATGTTAACTCAGTAGCTATTGAAATAAAACCATAAGATGACTTTATACAAACTTTGCATTCACTTAATTGAAATCCAGTCTATTCAAACAACATTGTTTCATATCAATGGACTTGATTTGTGTTTGTTGAGCGATTTGATGGAGTATACAACCAAGATTTAGAATAATTAAATATTCTGTAATACTGCCACGCAGTGGCCATATACAATTACTAAAAGTGTATCTTCAAAAACCTCCCAAGCACTTACACTTCACTTTTTATTGATGATACACTGTGTTTCACATTCAGCTGTAGAATGGAGAACATGTTGTGGGTCTGTAGCACAAAATGCATATTGAATGTCAAGACTATTGTTAGCAGATGACACTTTTGCGATATTAAAAAAATCTATATTTAAATAAATTGTTTGTAGTTCTTTTGTTGAAATGAAAAACAATTAGCAGTTGGTAAACTAACTTTTGGGGATAAGACTTACTATTTGGCTCAAATATCTTCTTTGATTCTTTTGTATACTTTCAATTTAAACTAAACAGTTTTTCATTTATATATTAATCCTGTTTTCTGAATTTTAAAAAGTTAATATTGAAACACAAAACACCACCAAATGAAAAATAACCAAAAATATCCGAACTGATCATGTTGGAATGTTAACATCTTTTGCATGTCCTGTATTTATACAGTTAAAAAAAAAATCAAAGAATTTTGTACATTTACATGGTTACAGATAAGAAATTCCCTAACCCAAATAGATTACAAAACCAGATAAGCAGCCTATGACACAGACAATATTTCAGAAGCCTGTTATATCTAGTTGTTTTCTTATGTCTCATACTTAAGATTAAGAGGTCTTTGAAACAAGGTTATCTTTTGTGTCTGTATGCTGCTTAGCACAATGGCACATAATCAGGCCTTGTAGGTGCTATCACAATATCAACAATAATGAAAAAGTAGTAAGAATAATACTGGAAGGGACTGAGTAAGATGGGATTTGAGAAGGAAGGTAAGGACACTCAGCATAGGACAATGAAACTGATCAACACAAAGGGCAATATGGTTTTTTAAAGAAGTTCATAGAAATCAATACACACAGGAGGTAGCACTGCCTAGAAGTGTTGGACTCCTGTATTCTAGTGCTTGTTCTGCCCCTTGTTTTACATAAGGTTTTCCGTTTCCCCATCTGCAAAGGGAAGATACCTACTACCAACCTCTCAGGGGTAAAAGGACTTAATATCCGTGAAGTCCCTTGAGATGTTCAGATCCAAGATATGGAACTGCAAGAAATAGCATTTGTCCCAAGAGGAGATAAAGGGGGGCGGGAGGGGCCGGAACCATTTTTGGGTCGGGGGCCTGCTAACCCATAGAAAAATCAGTTGGAGGGGGCTGCACACAAGTGTGAAACAAAGACAGAAGCCCCTGAATGAGAAGGAGAAAGACTCCCCTTGCACACTAGAGCCAAGGCAGTTGCAGGGGCAGGCTAGTAAATTGTGTGCGCTCCAGCCAGCAGGTGAGAGTGGCAGGGAGGCTGGAGAACCAGAGGGGGGTCCCCAATGCTGAGCCTCGGGAGTTAGATCCAGGCAAGCTGGGGGCCACATCCAGACCCCGGGCCTGACGTGTCCCCCACCCCCGATTTATGCCTTACAGCAGTGGAGGAAGATAGTACACTGAGAAGTGGGATGTGTGTACTGTTAGTTTATTGGATTTGTGACTAATTATAAATGTTATTTTAAGTTATCCTTATAGTTAATTATCTTTCTATTGTTATTATATTACTACATCCTTTCAGAGAATAAACTGAACTGGAGCTAATGATTTTAATGACATTCCTGCATTTCCTATCCATGAGCAAATAATTCCTGAACATGTAGCTCATGGGTGTTTGACAGAAAAACTGCTGTTTTATTAAAAACAATTTTTAAAAGAGTGGCAAATGTACTGTTCTATATTAAATACACCAAAATTGTATTTATAATTTCTTATACACAATTTCATTTTAAAATTATTTATTGAAAAATATCCATCAGCATATTTGTTGTCTTCAACACCCAAAAGAAAGTACTTCACAAAACAGTGAGTCCATGCAACTATGTACACATATGGGAAATGAGTTCACATCTTAGAGCTTCACGTTCTCAGTAGTCGATTCACTAGTAGGCAAAGGTTCAATAATCAGTCTTGGCTCAATCAGTGCATCCCAGCTTTCTGTTCTCTGAAACAAACGTATAATATTTAGCATGGCGAGTGTAGCCTATTGAATTAACCTGCTTGCTTGCCTATAGATATACATTTCTTACAGATTTCTTACTTCCTTATGGTTTGATTATGTGTTTATTATAATAGGTTATAATAGATGTATATTAAAGTAGTTTGGCTTTAGTGGAAGGGATCTGCAGGCCATATCCTGTATGTTGAGCTAAGGCAAAGTTAGGTTTCAGGCATAAATGTGCTTCACCCACATAGCACAGGTAGCTTACATATGTTTGGGACCTTTCATCTAGATAGTCTAATCAACAAGCATATATTCAGAACCCTTTACCTAGATAGATAGCGATAAGATAAAGCAACATTTAATAGCACAGGGACTTACAAGTACACCCTCAAACTTAACAGGTACACCACAACTTGGAAAACCAGAAAAAAAAACAGGTCAAATAACAAATGTGAAACAAAAGGGTCCATGATAGTGAACTGACCTATAGGAAAAAGACACTTAACCATGAGTAAGGTGAGGAAATACAAATGAAAAAAGGAAATATGCTGTACACAATATGCCTCAAACATAACTTCAGCCGCATAATATATTATAAAAGTGGGATCCCAGCCTAAGGGCAGCAGGACAAGATGTACCAGAATGATGGTCACTGGTAATGACTGGGAAGGTGATGATGATGCGGAAGATAATGGATAACACATTTCAGGTTGTTTTAAAAGGAATAGTGTCAATATATGGAAATATAGATGTGCATTTCCTATCTATCTTAAGTTGGGGAGTTTGTGACTATATTATATGTATTAATAAACTATATTTGTAAATATACAAAAGTGTTGCTATCGTGCACATCAGGGTTCCCAACTATAAAATAATTTAAATATTGGCCCAATCCTGAGATAAGAACCTGTCAAAGTAATAACTGGACAAGAACCCTCAAAGTGATAAGCTGGAAATTCATATGTAATTAATACACAATCTAAAAATAAGGCAACAAGAGAAATAAATAGATGGCATTCTCTTTTATTGTTTATATTTGTGCTAAGAAGGTATTAAGCATCAGTATAGGACAAAGGTCTTTATAGAAAATTCCTACTCTGCTTTTCTGCTTTCCCAATACACACAGAATTCCACTGAATCACTGAAGATCTTCACATGTACGGAGAGTAAAATGCCAGATAGGCTTAGACATACTGAATTTTGTTATATTAAGGGGAAAAAAAGTCTTCACAATTTTATTCAGCAAATTGTGTCTATACATCAATACACCTGGGGAGTTATTAAATAAGGTATACCGCTGAAATACTGATTGCTATAATATAAATACACACTAATCACTATAAATTGATTTTTTTGTTTTTGCTAATTTTCATTGAGATATATGACAAATGGGAATTTCATTAAAACAAGTACGTTCCTTAGCTGCACTGAACAGTTTCAAACAACTGATAACGTTTCAGCTGTGCATATCACAAAGCCATTTAAAGATTATTAACACACCTTCGTATCCTGAGAAACAGCATATTCTATCACTTCAGCTCCATCTGCAGACTGGTACACCAGATCAAACTTTCCTGGTTCTTTTACCACTTAACCAAGAAAAAAAGTGATTTTCAGTTAGTTTTATACAAAGGTAAACATGGTTATATAATATTTAAAAAGCTAGTCAAGTTCATTGTAATCCGCATTACACATTACAATAAACACCGTTACAATCATTTACTCCCCAGTGGATCAATGAAGCAGTTGAGCAGTAATGACCATACTCAGGATGTAAAGGACTAGTCAACAGGATAGTTGCTCCCGTCTCCCCTGCTGCCTCTATCAGATAGAGGCAGCAAGGGGGAGGAGTAAAGGGGGGCACTTAAAAGTGGCAGCACCACACAGAGCCTGGGGTCAGCTGGGGAGTCAGCTGATCCTGGGCTCCAAGCTGCTATGAAATGCCGTGCAACTCTGCACGGTTTGCCTCAGACTCAGTGTGGCGCTGCCACTTTGAGCCCAGGATCAGCTAGGACTCCCCACCTGACCCTGGGCTTCCTGAGGTGTGCCAGCTTTGAAATGTACAAAAGTCCCCAGCAGGGGCTCTTGTGCCTTTCAAAGCAGAGGTGCCTGCGTGGAGCCCGGAGTCGGTGGGACTTGCTGGTGGCCCTGGGCTTCCCACTGGGGCTCTTGTACATTTCAAAGGCAGAATGTGGAAAGTGCTTATCGACAAGTTGAGTAGTCGATGGAAATTCCATTGACTACTCGACTAGTAAATTAATTGCTAGTTAACATCCCTAGACCTCAGATTTGATCTGAGGAAGTGGGTCTGGCCCACGAAAGCTCATCACCTAATAAACCATCTTGTTAGTCTTTAAAGTGCTGCATAGTCCTGCCTTTTGTTTCAGCTGCACCAGACTAACTCGGCTACATCTCTATTACTATTCAACTTCAAGACAGTAAGCAAGAGCTATGGATTTTCTGTATTTAAGATACTATTTTAGTCTGTGGAAAATTTTGGGTTTTTTAGCATGCTGGAAAAAATGCGCCTCAAAAATTATAATTTATTGTTTTACAGATACTTTCCCACTGCAGCAGAAATGACTTCAGATATTTACATACTGACTTCTGGAGTTATATACACTTGCCTGCTGAAGACGAAAGAATCTCAAGTTCTACCTGTTTGTTTTCAGCATTCCAACTGATTATTTTTCCCTCCTTCAAAAAAACAAGAACAGTCCTATGGTGAAGCATAGCAAATTTGGTAAGTATTCCATATATTACACTAGAGATTCTTGAACACAGCTAGAGCACATATTTCTATTTGATGAAGTCTTTTGCCCAGTTCTGAAATATGTTAAAGTATAACTGAACTGAAATTAGTAATACTAATAAACCACAAATCTTTTATTGCCACCGTTACTGTGGATTAACATAGCAATCATTCAGCTATAAATCAAGTTTTCTTTGAAACTGAAACAAAGGTATATTTTTAATAATTCCATGAAATGTCTTGACAACTTCAAACTAACACACAGGTTGAACCTCTTTAATCCAGAACTCTCTTGTCCAGAAACATTCGTTGTCCAGAATTATTTTAATTAGCTGGATGTCCACTTTTCATGGGTATGGCCAAGTTTCCCAGTCCCATAAAGTTTGTTTACAGCCACCAGTCTTAGCTCTCAGGATTCTGTGCTGTTATTTAGCTCTAATTTACCCCTAAATGGCCTTTAGCAGCCCAATAAGCAGTTGAAGTGTTGGTAATGCTGCTAGACAATATTGACCTCCCATGATCCAGAAAATTTTCTCATTCGGAACCAGTCAGGTCCCAAGGTTGCAAAACTAGAGAGGTTTGGCCTGTACCAAGTCTTTCAATGTTCTTTGGCATCCAAAAGCTTAGAATTTGTCCTCACATTTTAGATTGTTTGCTCTTAAATCAGCAGTATTGTTTGCATGCATTCTTCTAATTACAACATGTTAGTATTTTGAACATCTTTGTATTTTGTAATTAATTTTCTTTTACACTGGAAATAGTTTGCACAGCAACATGAAGATTGGGGGGAAGATATAATGCACAGAATTTTAAAATATCCAAGACTCTCCCAAAATCTTGTCTTATCCACTATAGTATTATACATACATTTTTTGAAAAAATACCTTGTAGTCAGATACTTCAGGAGTGTAATTTTCTGTTAATTCCAAAAGCTGCTAAAAGAAAATATAAATCAATAAAAAAAACCTGAAAAATTGTATCTCCTGCTTCTGGCCCTTGCTGATGTCACTTACTATTCAGTCTGGGCACTGTCATTGAGGTGAACTGCATAAGAGCTCCTTCATCCTGCAGCTAGTATTCCATGACTGATCTCTCCAGTGGCTTCGCATTCAGCTTGGGCCTCGAAAGAGCACAGCTTCCTTAGCACCACTGACTGTTTTCTTTGTTATTGATTTTAGAAATGAAGTAGTATTATTTTTAGAGTAAGTTTTACAATGCTGTCACTGAAACACCACCCAGAATGAAATAGTAACTTAAGGGGATTTTCACTTTCTGTAGAATCTAGCTCTTATAGCGACTTCATTTTAGTGTGTGTTAAGCACTTCTCTCTGGGGTGGTCTTTCAGGGGGGTTTGTTTGTATCAGGACAGCTTATCCAGAGAAAAGAGAGGTATTCTGGGAATGTTCAAAGTCAGCTTGATTATCTGAGTCTTGACCAAGTAGTCAGAGGGAAAGATCCATTATACAGAATTCCTACTGAAATTGAGGTGGAGATGAAGGGTATATTTTGTTGCTTATGTTATCATTCTAGTAAGTTAAAACAAAATAAACTTAAATAGCGGTTTTCAGGTATCTAAAAGGGTGTCACAAGGAGGAGGGAGAAATATTGTTCATCTTGGCCTCTGAGGATAGGACAAGAAGCAATGGGCTTAAATTGCAGCAAGGGAGGTTTACGTTGGACATTAGGAAAAATTTCCTAACTGTCAGGGTGGTTCAACACTGGAATAAGTTGCCTAGGGAGGTTTTGGAATCTCCATCTCTGGAGATATTTAAGAGCAGGTTAGATAGACATCTATCAGTACCGGGTCCTGTCGTGAGGGCAGGGGACTGGACTCAATGGCCTCTCGAGGTCCCTTCCAGTTCTAGTGTTCTAGGATTCTAAATGTATTAGATCAGTGGTCTCCAACAAGATCACTTTTTTAATTTAAGTGTAATCCAGGATCTACCTCAAACCCAAATACCCTTGTCCCAGCTCCTTCATTACCCTTCTCCAAGGCCCTGCCCCTGCTTACTCTGTCCTCCCTCCCTTCCTCCTTCCTGCCTCCCTTACACCAGGCAGGGAGAGAGGGCTGGGGCACAGGCTCTGGGTTTTGGACTAAGGGATTTGGAGTGTGAGGGGCTCTGAGCTGAGCTTGAGATGGGGAGCTGGGGCACAGGAGGTTATTCAGGGTACAGGCTCTTAAGGGAGTTTGAATCCAGGGGGCTCAGGACTGAGACTTGGGATGCAGGAGGGAGTTCATGACTGGGCAGGGGTTTGGAGCTGTCTCCAGCTGGGCACTGCTTACCACAGGTGGCTCCTGGGTGGTAGTGCAGTGAGGCTAAGACAGGCTCTCCCCTGGCCTTGCACCACTCTCAAAAGCAACCAGCAAACTCCCTACATCCCAAGCTCTGTTATGCCACTCCAGCCCCCACTCCCTGTCCTGTGGAAATATAATACAGTGCCCCCTCCTCTCCCTTCCCTGCTCTTCACAGCAAGCATGAGGCTCCTGGGGGTGGGGACAGCCCCAAGGCAAAGGGAAGGAGCAGCACGGCAATGCTGAGAGGGGCAGATGAAATGCCAGCACTTGATAGCCTCTTGAACAAACCAGTCAGGATCACCTGTCAGAGGCTGCAAGATCTACCAGTAGATCCCAATCTACTGGCTGGTGACCACTGCATTAGATCAAAGCTTTCTAAAATGTAAAGCAACAATCAATTGTCTTACTATAAAGACAATCTTACATTTATTTGAGAGTGTTTGTCTGTCTGTCCAACCATCCATTTATGGCGTTTGTTCAAGCACTCCTCCTAAATGGTAAGAGCTAGGACCACCAAATTTAGTATGTAGCTTCCTCTTGTAACTTAAAGCAAGTTAAAGGTTCTTGGCTGTACCAGGAAAATGGATGTGCCTGGAATGGGATTGCTTTTCAGAAAACCACACAGAAAAGAGACAAAACCACTAGGCAGGTGAAAGAGGTTGGCTGACGGTGCCACCTCCAGCTCCAGGACTACCTGAGCCCCAAGCCTCCCACAATGCCTTGTAGAGAGAAGTGGAGAGCTGAAGGTCTTCCATTCCTGATCTATATGGGAACATTCCTGGCTGTTCCCCTTCATCAGGGAAGGAGGGGAAGTGCAAAGTTTGCTGCAGTCCTCACTCTGGTTGGAGAGCACTGCAATGCAGAGGAACCTGGCCCTACCCCAACCAGGGTACATTCACCTCCCTCATGGCTATGCCCACCAAAGCTGGAGACGCCATGGATAGGCACCTCTCACCTGGTGCCAAAGTGCTGCAGCGAGAGGAGGCTGGAGTAATCCTCTCTTCCCTGGGCAGCCTGCATACTGAACCCCTCATCCCCCAGAACAATGATTTAAATGAAGCATGTACATTTTCATTTTATTTAAAAAAAAATTAAGGATCCAAGCAATGCTGGATCAATCTTCTTGTTTTAAAATATATGCACAATCAAAAACTGTAGCAGGTTCATTTATTCAAGAAAATACTTGGTTAGAGAAATTAATAAATACTTTTAAATCTACTTGCAAATATAAGACATACCAGAAGGCTTAGAGGACTTTGAACCAGTCAGAGTTCCAGATTTCTTAGAAAAAGATTTAGACAGAAATGTCATTCACTGAAAAAGATTAGAAGAGGTTCTTTGGATACCCAGTTGTCATCCTAATAGTTGAAGGCCTAGTTTTATAGTTCAACTGGAAAGGTGGTAATGTCAATCCTTCTGAGACTCATTCTTCCTTCGCTTACTTACAAGCTAGTGCAAACTAGGATAACTGTGTATCCAAATAAATAAAAACATATACTTCTAGACCAATAGTCATTAAATAATGCAAGTCTGAACACTGTAAAATTTGAGGGGTGTCACATCTGAGCTAGTTGTGTTATATCTTGCAAAATGTACTATACTGGCACATCTGAAAGAGTTCTGAGCCACACTAATACCACAATGTATTTTAGGATTTCCTTACCTTAAAGGCAATTTTTTCCCCTAATTGTGGAGGGGCAGCTAATAGAGGTAGTACACTGTAGTCCCTCTTTGGAACTTCCACTGGATTCTGTGAAATAAACATTAAACCCAGTGATTCAATTACTTAATTAACAAAAGCTAATAAGCAATGTTAATGTCATGTGCTTTTACCCTTTACTTTCAAATCAAGAGAAGAAAGTGGGGATGACTAGGCCACACACTCAGAAAACCATCATCCCGCATAGTCCGTCAAGCTCTCATATTGAACCCGCAAGGAAAACGCAAAAGAGAAAGACCTCAGACAACATGGAGAAGATCTACTGAGATTGAAGGACAACAACTGGGGTACTCCTGGAGTCAGCTGGAAGTTGTGTCTCAAGACAGAGTGAAATGGAGGAGACTTGTAGATGTCCACTCAGAGTACAAGGTTTTAAGAAGATGACCCTTTACTTTACAGATTTCAAGAGGAAGAGCAGCATTTCTCAAATTGGAGGTCCTGACCCAAAGGGGAGTTGTGAGGGGTGAGTGGGTCACATGGTTATTTTAGAGCAGGGGTGGTGAACTTTTTTTGGGTTGGGGGCCACTGACCCACAGAAAAATCAGTTGGGGTACACACACAAGTGAGAAGCAGAAAAAAAACCCTCACTGTGGCTCCTGAATGAGAAGGAAAGAAACACTCCTCACATTGCACTCACACGCCAGAGGCTATGTGGGTCCAGCCTAGTAGATTTTGTTTGCTCCTGGCCAGGAGACCAGCCCAGGCTCCCTAATGCTGGGGAGGGCCCAGAGCCTTGGGGGCTGGATCCAGGCAAGCTGAAGGCCACATCTGGCCCTCAGGCCTGAGGTTCCCCACCCATTTTAGAGGGATTGCTATATTGCCATCCTTACTTCTGCACTGACTTCAGAGTTGAGCGGCCAGAGAGTGGCGGCTGCTGAATGACAGTCAAGCTGTTCAAGGCAGCAACCATACCATGCCATCCTTCTGCATCACTGCTGGTGAAGGCTCTACCTTCAGAGCTGAGCTTCCAGCCAACAGCCACCGCATTGTAGCTGCCCAGCTCTGAAGGTGATGCCACTGTCAGCAGCAGTGCAGAAGTAAGAGTAACCCAGCAACCCATTCATAACTCCATTTTGAGTCAGGACTCATACAATAACAGCACCTTTAAATTTCAGACTTAAATAGCTGATATCATAAAACGTATTATTTTAAAAATCCTATAACCATGAGACTGACCAAAATGTAGCATGAATTTGGTAGGGATCTAATTCAAACCAAGAGGTAGAACACAAGCTGTGTATAATGTAAAAAAAATAGTATTTATAAACACTTGGTCACAATCTGAGTCAACTGGCCGTAACTAAATGAACAACAGAGTTGTATTCTTTATATTGCTCTTGTTCTTTTCATTTTTATTTGTTCTTGGAATTTATGATCAAACTGTGTAGCTTATTTCAAGATAACTTTGAAATAAAGCGCTATTCTGAAACTTCCTTTAACTCTCATGCAATGAGGTTTACAGGAATATTGGAATAGCGAACCTATTATATTTTGATATAACAGGCTTTCTATTAAGACATAGAATAGCTATTACGGGATACCAAAGGTATCCCGAAATAGCTCCGCAGTGTAGAAGTAGCCTAGATGTGAGAGGCAGTGCAGAGCACTTAATCTGGATTCACAAAATGTGGGTTCTATTCCCATTTCTGACACCAGGCTCATGAATGATCTTGGCCAAATCTCTTTTCCTTGCTTCAATTTTCATATCTGTAAAATGAGCATAAAGATACCAACCTTCTTTGTTAAGTGCTTTGAGATCTAGTGTTGCGAAACACTATAAAAGAGCTAGTGATATTTCTGCATTTCTGTATATTTAATTACTGAAATTTTAGTAAGAAAACTATAAATTAATAAAAACTTTAAAAAAATATGTTATGTGGACATAAATAGTCACTCACCTGGATAACAACAGAAGTGTTTGTTGCTTCTTCATTTAACTGCTGATGTTTCTGGTTTTCATCGCCGTAGTTAAAGAAGAAGCTATTGCTTTCTCCACGGCCACGGCCCCGACCCCGACCCCGGATCACCGCACGACACCCTCGGCCCCTATGTCCTCTCCAGAAGTTATCCTCTCCTCTACCAAGTCCCCTTCCAAAACTGCTGGAGTTTACAGCTGGTCCTTGATTGCTAGCTGGCAACTGTTTACCACCACTTCTTACTAAGGATTTATTGAAGCCAACATTTGCTATGGGCTTTTTAATAACAAATGTCTCTGAATCTGAACTATCAGACTCCGAAGAAGAGGTCTTTGCTTTGGGGGACTTTGCCATAATGTTCACAACTGGGGGATTTTTAGGCAGCAGTTTTCCCTTTGAGTCATTGCTTCGCTGTTGCTGCTCTTCTTCCATCTCTATACTAGAGTTAGAATCTGAACTAGAGGACTGGGGTTTAGTTTTTTTACTAATTGCAGTCTTGGGGGAATTTTCATCTGTAGACTTGGCAGTAACTTTACTAGCAACAACAGTTTTTATAACAGAATTTGCAAGTTGGGATTTGTCTCTGTGTAGCATTGCTGCCATAGGTTTATGTGAGGATTTATTTTGTTTCATATCCATTTCACTGTCAGATGATGTGCTGGAGGAATCACGATCTGAAATTCCCTCCCTCTTTTTGCTAGACTGTGCTGCAATGTTTTTTACTGAGCTACTTTTACTAGGATTCAGAGGGAAATTGTGGTTGGCTTTTTCTAAAACAGTCTTTTCTCTAATTGGCCTTGTTTTTCTCTGCTTAGCATCCTTTCTTTCTGTTTCCAGATCTTTCTTTCCCTCAGACTTTTTTTTAAGTTTTTTGGACTCATCAAGACTGCTGTCATCATTTCCTCCTGCGATATCATTTCTTTCATTCACATCTTTTCTTTTTCTTTTCTTGGACTTTTTCCGAGTGTCTTGAACATTTACAGAGTCCTCTTCCTTACAAGAAAGATGTTCAGAGCTCTGTTTCTTCTTCTTTTTCCTTCTGTGTCTGTCATCTTCACTTTTAGCATTCCCCTCCACTTCCAACTTTTGGCTATATTTTTTTCTCTCTTTTCTTGATGAGTAAATTATACCATTACCAATCTCATCACAACTATCTGAAACTATCTTTTCCAATTTAACTCTGTCAAAAAGACAATAAACCAATGTTCAGTACAACTAGTACATTAATATTCCTTTCTACATACTGAGTTTAAAATTAGACTACTGTCTAGGACCGTGGTCACCAACCAGTAGATCTCAGGGGTTCTAAGAGTAGCTCTTGAGCCCTCTCTGAACTGCGCGCCTGCGCAGAACATTTACATTAGATTTCCTCATTTGAGGAGCTGCTACTCACCGAGCAACAACACAGGCGAGTAGCTGCGAGGAATGCTGGGAGCTGAGAGGTTGGGAGGGCTGAAACACCCCAGCAAGCTGACTTTGGCTTTCAGCTGAAAGAGGCTGCCCCACGCTCCAGCTGATCGGCGGCTTCTCCTCTGCGCCTGCCCACGTGGAGCTTGGTGCACCCTGGCTGAGCGCCATGGCCAGCTGCCCAGGCAGCCACTTCTCTTCCCTCCAGCCCGGCTGCCCTGTGCTCAGCCCAGGGAGGCTGCGTCTAGCTCCAGCTGTGCTGGAGCAAGCTTCCCAAGCTGAGCGCAGGATCACAGATGCCCATCTGATGAACTGTATACGACTAGCAAACTCAGACTACAACCCAGACTTCAAGACACTGGCAGATACTGTTCAGTCACAGGTGTCACACTGAGACTTTGTTATTGGAAGAAAAAATATATACTTATCAATACTTGATTTTAGATTTACAAAATAGCAGAGAACAAAATGTATAATTGTAAATGCTTCATTTGACATTTAAATAGCATGAATTAAAAAGACCATTTATTTCATAACTATAAACATGATTTTAATTTTATATATTGCATAATTTAAAAATAAACTGTTTAACAGAGTGTATAAGGGCTGGAGATAGCAAGTGATGGACAGGAGAAGAGAGAGGGCGGGACTTCAAGGAAGGGGCAGGGCTTCAAGGAAGGGGCGGAGTGGTAGATCTTCACCTGTTCTGAGTTAAAAAGTGATCTTGGGTGTAAAAAGGTTGGAGACCACTGGTCTAGGATGTCATAGCTATTCACGTAGGAGCTAAAAAATATTAACTCAGCAGACGAAGAGATGGAAACAAACTAATCTCGCAAACAAACTATGCCAAAGATTAAACTGTCAAACAGCCTAAATTCCCCAGTAAGGATGTTAAGAAGTGGGTAACTGACTAATTGTGCAGTTGATAAAATTTGTATCGACTACACAATTAGCTGATAAATTTCCCTGCAGTGGCTCTGCAGTTTAAATGTAGCAAAAGCCAGGTGTGGAGGCAGCCCGGCTCCTACTACATTTAAACTGCAGAACCGCAGCAGCAGTAGGTCCCAGCCCTGGCTCATGCGGGTCTGCTAAGTCCCAGATTGTGTTGTTTCCTGGACCTATTCCCACTGCAGCTTTGCAGTTTAAATGTAGTAAGAGCCAGGTGGGCAGATAGCCCACCTGGCTCTTACTACATTTAACCTGCAAAGCTGCAGTGGGGGGTAGGTCCAGGACCTGGTGCGAGCTGGATCTCAGACCACTGAGCCTCTGCCTCCTCTGTCCACCGCAGAGTCAGTGCTGTGGGAACCTCCCCCAATACAGAGGCAGCAAGGAGGGGGGAGGGAAAGCGAGTAGTTACTCGACTAGTCACTTACACCCTTAATCCCCAAATGCTCATGTGTGGGAAAAGGGGTAGTGCACACACTGCAACACATCCCTGGTGCCCAAGCGATCCACATGCCAGCATAAATTAGGGATGTAAAAGGTTAACCAATAAGCATCCCCCTTAACAAGGGATTCTTACCGGTTCCGATTAAGGGGTGGGAGATGGAGTAGATTCTTGCCCATAGCGTGAAGGGGGCTGTGGCAGCCCCACCAGCCCTGCCATGCACAAGGGCATTCTAGCCTGGATGGAACAGCTTCTCTGCAGCAGACACTCTTCATTCAGGGGCTGCTCTGGCTCTCCAGAGCAGCCTCTGTCCACAGCATGCCTGGGTGCATTTCAGGCAGGGGCTGCTCCTGTGGGGTTGGGAGAGAGGGTGCACCAACTCCACTGCCTAGCTCCCTTTAATCAGTTAATTAGTTATCACCACCTTTAACCACTTAACCAACTACATAGGATTTTAAATCCCTAGTGCAGATGCCATGTATTAGGGGCACTCAGTGGGCAATCTGCAGGGAATATGGGTTATACTGTCCTCCAGCAGCATAGAAGCCTTGCCATGCACCCCAGATTTCCTCTCACCACACCTGCCAAACTTCTGATATTTGGGCTGAGGCACAGAGTTTGTATACCACTCTAAGCCTGCCTCCAAAATCTCAAGATTTTAAGAGGACTTCCAGACAACAATAAATGTGCTTTTCAAAAGAGTGTTAAAACTACAATATGACCAGCTGATATGACTTGAAAGGTATTAAAAGGTGTCTGCACAAGGAGAATAGAGTAGGGATGTTTCAAATTGTTTAATTTAGTAATTGTGTAATCACAACAATTGTTAGCAGATTATTCAATGGCCCCTGGAGATGGGGCCAGCAGTCAGTGCGCTCCCAGCCCCACTCTGCTACCTCTGTATCAGAAGCAGCAGCGCAGGGTGGCAGGCAGAAACCCGTCCGTGAGAGGAGCCAGTTTAAAAATTGGTTCCCCAGGCAGACCGGCTCCTGCCTGCCATCTTGCACTGCTGCCTGTGACACATAAGAACGGCCATACCGGATCAGACCAATGGTCCATCTAAGCCCAGTATTCTGTCTTTCAGTAGTGGCCAATGTCATATGCCCCAGAGGTAGTGAACAGAAACAGGTAATCAAGTGATCCCTCTCCTTTCATCCATTTCCAGCCTTTGACAAACAGAAGCTAGCAATACCATTCCTACCCATTCTGACTAATTGTAGGGATAACATATTAATGTATTGAAAATGATTCCCCCAAATGGAAGTGACTCCCCATAATTTGTTCCCCACAACTTAAAGTATTTAGATTTATTATTAATTCTTCTTCTTATTATTATTTGTTAAGATTGTTAAATGTTTAGATTTATTATTATTATTGCCCCCTTTAGAATATAATGTATTAGGTAATGTAACTTAGAACTGTTAAAAATATAATCCTATGTAACCAGAAACAGCCCCCCCCCTCTGTGCTCCAGGGCATGCTCAAGCTTGTGCAAGGGGCTGCTTGAAATTGACATTGCAGAGATACATTGTAACAATGCATTGTCAAGCCACTAACTCTGCTATGGGAGCCAAGCCCTGTAATTGACTAAGGGCATTGTTACTTAATTGACGCCTGTTCTCTTTAAAACATTGTAACTTTATTCAGCACTCAGAGAATGTTTTAAGCAATACCACCCAGAAACTTTCTGTAACTACAACTTTTATTATTATACAAAATACTGTATGAATGTATGAGAGAGTGCTTGGATGATGAGTGAATGGTTCTAAGAGGTGCCAGCCTGAGAATACAGCAACAAAGGGCTGAAGAAGGCGTCAGGTGCCAGTGCAACCAAAAGGTGTCAAGTGGAGAAACTGGAGGTCCACCCGATGAAATCACTGATGAGCACCTGGCAGCCACCCTGGAGACATCAGCATGATACAGCAATTTCCATAGACTGGCATAGGAAGAAATTCCTATAAGAACTGGACTAAAAAACTATGGAATCAGAGTCCAAGGTTCTGCTGCCAGCCTACCAGGAGCTTCAGATGCGCATCTGATCAGGACTTCGCTCCCCACTACCATCACTTGTGTACAGAGTACCTGGCCAGTATCCTGTCACAAGCAACTTCCAGGCTGGTAACTATACACAGAACTTGAATGAATGGATGTATGAATGAATGGTTTATATATATATATAAGTGTATAAGGGTTAAGTAGTGTTAGGAATAAGTAGTTAAACAACGTTGTTTGCTTCTATCTTTTCTTTATTTTTTTATTATCTTTACAATAAATGTGGCTTTTTGCCTTATCCCCCTCATAAGATCCTGCTTGCTTTTATTTGGTACAACATAATAAGTATGGATGGACCTAACCTCCATAAATTTATCTAGTTCTTTGAATCACACAGAGTAGCCTTTGTTCATGGGGAGCTCAGGTTTTTAGACTGGCTCCCCACCTGCCACCCTGCACTGTTGCCTCTGTATCATGGGTGGCAGACAGCTCCCCTGAATGCTCTTCATTTTAAACTCTGAGTTTTAAATGCAGAGCATGTGGGGTAGTGGCGTTATGGTAGCTGCGGTTAATCAGGGCCATTAACAGATTTAGTCATGACCGGTGTGGAAAAAGCGAATAAGGAAATTATTTGCTTATTCCCACAATATAAGAACTAAGGATCACCAAATGAAATTAAACGGCAGCAGGTTTAAAACCAACAGAAGGACGTTCTTCTTTGCTCAGTGCACAGTCCACCTGTGGAACTCCTTGCCAGAGGATGTGGTGAAGGCGAGGACTTTAACAGGGTTCTAAAGAGCGGCAGATAGATTCACGGAGGTTAGGTCCACCAATGGCTATTAGCCGGGATGGGTAGGAACAGTGTCCCTAGCCTCTGTTTGTCTGGAGGTGGGGGAGGGATCGAGTGAGGATTATCTATTGTGTTCCCTCTCTCTGGGGCATCTGGCATTGGCCACGGTCGGCAGACAGGACACTGGGCTGGATGAACCGTTCTCTGACCCAGTATGGCCGTTCTTATGTTCTTACCTGCCAATGGCTATTAGCCGGGATGGGTAGGAACAGTGTCCCTAGCCTCTGTTTGTCTGGAGGTGGGGGAGGGATCGAGTGAGGATTATCTATTGTGTTCCCTCTCTCTGGGGCATCTGGCATTGGCCACGGTCGGCAGACAGGACACTGGGCTGGATGAACCGTTCTCTGACCCAGTATGGCCGTTCTTATGTTCTTACCTGAGGGACCCTCCCTCCTCCCCCCACACTTCTGGGAGGCTGGCA